TGATTTGTCCTGTAAAATTTCTACAAATTAAAGTGCACTGAAGACAACAGAACAACCCAATCAAATACAGACAAAGGAATTGACTAGTTATTTCTTCACAGAAGATATACAAATAGATAAGAAGTACGTGAGAAGATGCTCAACATCACTAATCATAAGGTAAATATACATAAAAATTACCCTGGGATGACCAATGTCAAAAAACAGACAGTGTTGGTGAGGATGTGGAGGAATTGGAACTTCTGTGTCTTGCTGATGGGAATAATATAGTCATTGTGAGATAATATAGTCACTTTTTGAGGTTTCTCAGAAAGCTTAATACAGAATTACTGTATTACTATATGAGCCATCAATCCCACTTCTGGCATATACTCAAAAGAACTGAAAGCAAGGTCGCAAAGAGATAATCAAACACCTATGTTCTGGCAGCACCATTCACAAGAGCTAAAACATAGAAACGGACAGTGTCCATCCGTGGATGACTGGATAAACAAAATGTGCTTCGTTCATTCACGGACCATTGTCCAGCCTTATAAAGGAAGGAAATTTTGCCACCCGCTACAACATGGATCAGCTTTGAGGACATTCAGCTAAGCAAAATAAGCCACAGCAGAAGACAACTGTACGTGATTCACTTAGATGAAGCACACAGAGTAGTCAAACTCACAGAGACAAAAGGTATAGGGATTTCCAGGGCCAAGGTGGGAAGGAAGAGTTACTGCTTGATGAGCAAAACTTCACTTTTACAATATGAAAATAGCTATGGAGGTAGATGGTGGAAACAGCTATCACAATGTTAGAAATCTATTTACTAGCACTAGGCTGTGCACTTAAAAGTAGTTAAGATGATAAATTTTGTTGCATATATTTTATAGCCACAACAAATTGGACAAAGTTAAAGAACACCAGAGCAGAGAGTAACTCAAAGCCACATGAAGAAAAGAGGACCCTGGTAAAGATAACTGTATAAGTAAAGATAAAGCCAGTATTAACTTTGGGGTTATAATTCTTTTTTTCCTATGTGAATGTATAAAATAATATAAATCTATACTAATAGATATATAAAGGAGTAACATGACAACAGAAAGAGGAAGGGATAGAACTATATGGGAATGCAATTTTTATGTACTTATTGAAGCTAATTTGGTCTTAAACTACATTGTACATCTAAGATTTTCATTGTAAACTGAAGGCTAACCTTTAAAGAAGAATACTTTTAGAAAGTTTTTAAAAATAAAGAAAACAAAATCTTATATAGAAGAAATGAGAGGGGAATCAAATCAGTACATGAGGACAAAGTCATTAAACACAACAGCAGGCAGTAGTGGAGGAACTGAGAGGGGAAAGTTTTAAAACAGAAAACAAATAGCAAAGCAGAAGTCCTTCCTTAGCAGAAATTACTTTAAATATAAATGGATTAAATTCTCCAGTTAAAAGGTGGGTATTGAGCTGGACATGGTAGTATACATCTGTAATTCCAGTATTCTGGGAGACTGAGCCAGGAGGATTGCAAGTCTAAACCCAACCTGATCAGTTTAGAGAGAGCTTGTCTCAAAATAAAAAATTCTAAAGCTTGGGAATCCCCAGTACACCTCCTCCCACAAAAAGGTAGAGATGACAGAATGAGTAAAAACCTATGATCCAACTATGTGCTCGCTGCCTCCAAAAGATTCACTGTAGATCCCAAGACACAGATAGGTTCGAAGTGGAAGGGCTTCATGAAAATAGCATTCCATGCAAACAGCAACCAAAGGAAAGCTGGGATACCTGCACTACTCTTAGACCGAACAGACTTGAAGTCAAAATCATCACAAGAGACAAAGGACATTATATTTTACTGAAAGGGTCAACCCAGCTGTCAGCAGCCCATACAATTATCTTCAAACTTCCCTGCCCACAAATCTGGGCCAAGTACTTACAGTCCCCATCCCAGCCCTACCACCACGAACAGGAAATCATGCCAGACTGAAACAAACAAATAGCCTTCCTTGAGGTCCTCAAAGAAATGGGCCATGTGCCATAGACCTCCAGGTTCTTGTTCCCACCCTGGCACCTAGAAGTCCTCCTGATCCCTCAGTCCCCTTGTGTTTGTGAGGGGCAACTACAACAGCCTCACAGCTTCCCCTGCCTGCATCCCTGCAGAAGCCTCCCCATTCCCAGGCCTTCGCCCATCCCTTCTGCCCCCTTGGATTCCCGGCTGTCACAGTCCTGTGTGTAGAGTTTCTTTCTAGCAGTCCCCCCTCCCCTTGCTGCTGTGGAAACTGCCTGGGCAGGGAATAGTTACTCGCTGTCTGCATTCTGGGTGCTTCACCTGGCATGAATAAAGAGGGTTCAGTGCTGCTTTGCTTGAGTGGGTGAGATGGGGCAGGAGGAGGCAGCCTCAGACACCCCAGGAATCCCCAGGCACCTCCATGCTCCCAAGGCCATAAATGCAATGGGTCTGCCCAGGCTTCCACACGGTCCTTGGAGAGACCCGCACATGCCACCCAGCATGGCCCGTCTGCTCGGTTCTCCCCACACCTTTGTGCCACCTCCTCTTCCCTGCACTGCAGCCTTCTCCGGGCCTCCTCTTCCCGCTTGTTTCCACGCCACCCCAACGTGGTTCCCTCCTGTGTCCAGATGTGCCCAGCTTAAGTTTCTTTTTTTTGTTTTTTTTTTGTTGTTGTTGTTTTTCTCCGGTACCGGGAACCGAACTCACGACCTTGCGCTTGCCAGGCAGGCGCTTTGCCGCTGAGCTAAATCCCCAGCCCCAGCTTAAGTTTCAATAAGCAGTCTGAGCCTCAGGGACACAGTCACAAAGGTGCCTGCCTCATAGCCTTGTGATAAAATGAGATTGTGTGCAGCATGCCTGGCACATAGGAGAACCAACACAGACTCTGTTTTGGTGAATAGAGCCCTGACCAAATGATTAAGTTTTCTTCATGGATGAGAACATTTGGGTTCTTGAACCGTTTTTATGAAGGTGTCTCTTGCATCTGGTACCCTATGGAGTTCAGAAAGGTAGGGATGATGGATGGGTGCGTGGATGGATGAAGAGATGGAGGATAGAGGAATCTTGGTCACTGGTATGTCCCACATGGGGCGATTCTGTACATGGAGAAAGAACCACCGTATCCTCTGAGGTCTCCTGAGATTTTTCATTCCAAATAAAGTAAGAGAGAACAAAGGATGGGGAGATGTCACACCCAGGAACCCGGTTAATATGACTGTATCAGTGGTGGTTGTGGAGGTCTCTATGGAGTCCTGCACCAAGCACTGGGCTAACCATTTCATGTGCACTGGTGTTTCGGTCTCAGGTCAGTACCAGCATCAGTTTTTTGGTACATAAGCAGGAAATGGATGCAGCAATCTGCCCACAGCTGCAGAGCCGGAAAGGGGTGGACCCAGGACTCAAATCCAGCCTCTGGGACTGATGATGGTCACTTGCTCTTCTGCACTCATTTGCCAGTGTGGACCAGTGCAGGGCTGAGGAGATGGGGAGGAGGAAGAGGAGGAAGCGGAGGAGGCTGTGCCTCACTTCAGGGCCCCCTGGGAGGCTCAGGATGGCAGGGAAGGGAATGGAGTGCGATGCAGAGCAGGGACAGCTCCTGAGGCCTAGAGGGAGGTCATCGGGTAAGAAGGGGAGCCTGAGTGTTGTGTGGGTCTTGCAGGATGGGGAAGGAGCGGCAGATGAAAGGGGAAGAATGAGAGCAGGCAGGCAGTGGAAGGAAGTGTGGCATGCTGGCCTCACCACAGTGCTGAGGGAAGAGGACTTTCATCTTCACTTTACAGGGAGGACTCTGAGCTCAGGAAGGCTAAGTAATGCACCCCGAGATCCTCCCTGTTGTCCACAGCAAAGCTCAGGATGGAGCCGGGTGTGCGGGCTCTGCCTTGCAGAACTGCAGAGCTGGCCAACTCCGCGGAGCTGGAACGTCGATGGGACCAAAGGCACTCCCTGTTTGAGGGGTGGGCAGAGCCAACATTTAGCTACAGATACCTGCACCCAGCAGAGGCCTCCGCAGGGTAGGTGGGGCAGCGTTCAGAGACAGCCAGAGCCTACCGGAGCTAAAATACCCTTAGGAGGTAATGGGGGCCCAGGCCTTCCTGAGAGGCCGCGTGAGTCCCCACTCACCCAGCCCCCTGTGGCCCCGCCCCCGGCATACCGCACTCCGTGAAGGCCGCTTTCTTTCATAATTCCTGGCCTTCAGGCCAAGGGGCCCTGGGATGGAGCCCTGTCCCAATCCTGCCTTCTCACACATGAACACACTGAGTCCAGGTGGCCTCAGGCGGCAGAACGAGGTTGCCGTGTTGCCTCTGGTGGCCCAGCACGACAGGAAGCTGCTGGCCAAGTCCCCACAGCACCCATCCCAGGGAGCCCCGGGGCCCTGTGCCAGCCCCACCTGGCTGGGAGCCCACATTCCTGGATCCTGCTGTGGAGACCAGAAGCTCATTAGAGCCTCAGGCCGGTCACGGGGAAAGGCTGAGGCCCTGAGGCCATTGTGGCCCTGAGGAGGAAGGGGGGCTGGAGGGTTTGGCTGAGTGACAACACCCCTGCCTCCTCCCATCAAACCCCAGGGGACTCTACTCTGGTCGTGCCATCCCCACTCACGGCTGCCCAAGGCTCTCAGGACAAATCAGGCTCAGGGTCCTTCACAAGCAGCCTTGCCGACCCCTGCCCCACAGACTTTCCACATGCTCTGCCCAGTCTGTCCACAGCCTGGAATGCTGGTGATTCTGAGATGTGGGCGAATTGATCATTTCTGCCCAGTGAGGCGATTCATGAAAGGACCCCAGTGGGCATCAGAGGGAGCAAGTACCCGACGGACCTTCAAGAAGCAAGAAAATTTTCTCAGCTGGGATTTAAAGCGCTTGTAGGGATTTCCCGACAGACAAGATTGGAGCAGGCATCCCACAGTGAAGCGAGCAGACAAGAGGATGGGACAGGCTGAGCGACCCAACAAGGTCAGCCGGACTCGGGTGTGAGAAGCCGGAGGACGGATCAGGGGTGTGGGAGCACTCACCTGCTGAAGAATCACCATGGTTCTGTGTCCGAGCTCCTGCTACCTGCTGTCCGGCAGACCTAGTTCTGCAGGAGGGAGACCATGTCAGCCTGAGCAGACCAGCCCTGGAAACCTTGGGCCCAGCAGGGGTCACCTGGGCCCCTCCCAAAGCCACAGCCCTCCTCCCTCGGGGGAACGCTCCCTGGCTTCTCTCCTCTGGCCTCGGGCCAGCTCCAGTGACCCAAGCCTCATCCTCTGTCCCCAGCTCTGTTGCCCAGGGAAGCTGAGCCACTGTTGCTCTCTCGGCCACTGTCATCCGGAGGCTCCCAACAGGCTCTGAAGAAAGAGCGAGCCTACTTGTTTGGGCAAAGGGGCCCAGAGATGGACCGAGACCTGGGTCTGTCTCAGGGTCACCCAGCAGGGCAGGGCAAATTCAGGGCTAGGACTTGGCCTCTTGCCTCCTAGCTCAGGGATGCCCTGGAAGTGCAGGAGACAGGGAAGCCTGGTCAGAGGGAAAGTCATAGGCTAGACATGACCTGTGCATGGCACACTTTGGGTAAAACCCTTCCCAAGCATCCTTGCCCTTGGAAGGAAGACATAGGTCCCCACAATCTGGATTTTAAGGCCTAGCACAGACTGGTCTCTGCTGATGTCTCAGCCTTTTCTCTCCGTACCCCTACAATGGGGCCATTCTTAGTGACTCACTATTCCTGAAATATTGCAGCTCTCCTCAGACCTCCTTGCCTTTGCTTACACTGCCCATGGAATTCTCACTAGTATGGCTTATGGCTCAGTCCAGATGGCGCCTCCTCCAGGAAGCACTCCCTGACAACCCCAAGGCTGCCAAGAACCTCTGTGTTTACCTTTGCCCCGGTTCTGACTATATGCGTGATGCTGTCTGGGTCAGAGCCTGTCCCTACCTCTGTTCCTAACGTCAGGGAGTTGATCCAGGGCAGGGCAGGGCAAGGCCAGAGCCTCAGCCATTGCCTTTTCTCCAGCCTCATTCATAATCAGAGGTGGACTCAGGAAGGACTTGTGGGATGAGTGTGGCCACTGAAGACAGCTCTGGCCCACAGGCCCTGGCATGAGGCCCCTCTGGCCCCTAAGCTGCCCACAGGATGGGCATCAATTTTTCACAAGGGCCCATTCAGAGGCACTGGGGTATTTGATCTTCTGCCCATGACACTGCCTGACACCTGAGCCCTGACCTCAGGGCTGGAGGCCCGGAGCTCTGGATACCAGAGGATATGTGGTCTTTCCTGAGAACTGCGCAGGCTGGGTGCCTGGCCGGGATGAGAATTCAAGAAGGGCCAGCAGACAGTTTTCCCTGGGTGCTGTCTGAAGAGGATTCCAGGGCCACTGTACTGACACTGGACATCAGGATGAGCCATGAGAGCGGGGGCAAGCTAGAGTTTTTATGAAAGTGCAAGGGCTTTAGAGGATGGCAAGGGGGTAGAATTTAAGGCCCATCCATTAGGAAAACTACAAGGTATGCATTTTATTTCTAAGAATAAGAGCTAGACCCTGCTCAAGTTCATTGCTTTTCAAATTGACAATTGACAGTATTTGTATTTCTAAGCCCATGCCTGATTCCATCCTGTCCCCACAACAATCCTGTCTGGTGGGGTGTCGTACTCCCGGGTCACAGATGAGAAACTTGGGCATACAGAAGGGAAGTGACTTCTCTGAGGAGAGAGATAGGAGTGTCAGAGAGAGACCAAAGGAGGCCGAGAGACTGGAACAGGACTTCTGCACTCTCTCTGCCACCCTAGCACGCCTGGTCCTAGGATGCTCCCCAGCCCCAGCCCCAGCTCAGAGACAGTTCGACGGATATAGTTCTCCCTGGTCCTTTCCTTCTCCAAGGTACAAATCTCCATCTTCCCGAGCTCAGGACAATTTCACTGAATGGCCGCTGTGGTGGAGCCCCCGGGAGTGGCAGGAAATGCACGAGCAAGTGGCTGTAGGGCAGGGCCTCCTCCCAAATCCAAAAGACCCTATCCCAGTGCCAGGACAAGGGCAGCCCATCCTTACCTGAGTCCCAGCTGCACACTCTCAGTGTCCCACCAGCCTGGCTGCAGCTGCTCCTGCACGGAGAACTCAGAAAGCTGGGGTCACGGGTCTGGCACAGTCTGCAGATATGCTGCCCCTGCTGGGTCTTACCCGACAGCTTGCCCTGGATCTCTCTCTCTCTCCCTCTCTCTCCCTCTCTCTTTTTCTCCTGTTTTTTTCTGCCCAGGCGGCTGTCCAGCCAGCACTTCCACCCTCCCCTTTCACTCCAGCGTCTTCTCCCAGGAGGCGGAGTCCAAGGGGGCCTCCAAGGTCTGGGTGTGGTGACATCAACCTGGGGGGCGGGCTGTGCTGGGACTACTGTCCAGAGGCTGCTCCCGGCTCTGCACAGAGCGCCACCAGCCAACAGGGAGGCAGGGACATTGCAGTCTCTGGCTGTGCTGCAGACACGTGTGGGGCCCAGGGCCACACACAGAGGCCTCAGGTGTCTCCTGTCATTTGCTGTACCACTACCTGCTGCCTCAGCACCTAGCAGGAAACCTCATTCTAACCTAACTTGGTCACTGATTTGCTGGAGTCTCCTCCCAGCCACTGTCCCCCATGACACTGTTTCAAACTCCGACAAGGCCTGGCCAGGCCAGCAGGGCAATGCTGAGTGAGCAGTGTCCTGGCACCCTCTCCCCTTCCTGCACACCCCCTCCCGTGCCCCAGACCACGTCCCTCCAGGTGTCCCCCTGAAGCTCATCAACTCAGTGTTGACCCCGTGACTTGTTCCTTTATCATCTAGAAACCTTGCCCAACCAGCTAACTACATTCGCACAGTGAGCAGTTGAGCACATATAGCCATGCTCCACTGCTTTGAAACTTGTCGAGTTTGGCACTTGACACATTTTGATGTGAAAATTGTGTCCCAGTACTTGTTGTTTATCTGGCGCTGGATGGACAAGCTAGAATTTGTCGGACTCGCTACCGTTTCGGCCACTGTTTGGCAATCATCACACCTCTCAGAACCAATTAATGGTACCACTGCGGTTTTCTCAGAACCAAGGTACCACTGCGGAGGCAGCCTCACATACAATGGGACAAAGTGAAATGTGTAATTGGAAGGGGTGCACAAATCTTTATTACGCTGGCAGACAAGGGGTGGAGAGGGCCAGCAGCGCCCCCTGCTGGGCAGAGGCTCCACAGGGAGCTAGGCTCAGTGTGACGGATCATTTTGGGAGGCATTCTCTGCTGGGCCTGGCTCCCTCAGATTCGCAATGCCCCGGTGCACATTTGTTGGAGACTGTTACAAAGTAGCTCTGAGCTACTTTGGATTTAATATTAACCAATTGGCTTTCCATGTTTACTTCTGAGTTGTCTGAAGCTTAGACACCTTGTCTATCGATGGGCAGTGGACTCATAGTAAGTAAACCTCTATGAGTCACTGGCCACCCCTGAGGCCTGTATTGGCCTCTGAAGCTGTGGAACCTCAAAGGACAAGACAAGGCCACAGCTGAGGATGTCTGGCTCCAACCCCAATGAACTTAAAGGAGACTGCAGCTGCAGGCATCTCACTCCTGCTGTGAAGGCCTTCCTGGAGATAACATAGTTCTCCTAAATTAACATAATGTATTACTTGGAAAAGCCCAGCCCAGATTCCAGTGTTTTCTTGAGTATCTTCCTCCTTTGAAAATCAAATAAATACAGGCTGCCCAGACAAGTCTTCGTCTAAACTCCGAGAATATCATCTGTAAGAGAGTGAGACCCTCCTGGAGCCCTGAAATCATTTCAATCATCTCATTTATTTAAGCCTTCACCATCCTCTCACTTGGGAGATTGAGGGCCTCATCAGCCCGCAATAACTAGGGGTTACTTAACCCAATACACATTAGCCCAGGGACCTTGGCAGGAGTCACTCCAAAACAGTCTCCACCTCTGGACCTCACTTTCAGCTGATTACTTAGCAGTAGAGCTCCTCAAAACCACTTTTCTCAAAGGCTTCAGGCTGGGCAGCACAAGTGGCCTGGACCCACACAGATGGGGAAAATGAGGCTCTGATTGGAGCACAGGTGCCCACAGCCTACGGTAATAACTGGGTAGACCACCAGAGGGAGCTGTTCGGCCAGAGGTTGGTGGGGTGGGAAGGCTGTGAAGTTGGTCTCAGATCCCATGATAACTACTGCACTTCCTGGACACCCGCCATGACCCAGGCAGTCTGCTAAACAGGCCAGATAGTTCACTTCTCACACTCCCAAGAAGAAAGCTAGAAATCTGTCCATGCTGTTTTGTGATAACAGAACACGTGAGACAGGGTAATTCCTTAGAGGCTAAGCATGGCTGTTTTGGAGGCTGAAAAGTCCAAGCCTGGGGGCCACTTCAGGCAGTGGCCTCACGCCGTGTCATGGTTTGGCAAAAGATGGCGTGGAGCCATGAACTGTGCATGGAGTGAGCTCAGACAGGTGTGGCTGCCTCGCTTCCCAGCAACCTGTTCTCCTGGGCACCAATCCAGCCTCACAAAAGGCCATTTATTCCTTCCCAATCACCTCTCGCTAGGCGCCTCTACTTAAGGTTCTCGCATCCTTCACTGCTGTCCCATTGGGGACCAGGCTTCCAGCACAATCGCCTTGCAGGACACCACATCCGAACCAAGAACCAGTCTGGGTTCACTTTGCCCTCTTCCCTCACGCATGCTCTCCCCCCACCCCCAGCCTATCACTGAGGTCTGCCGACTCTGCCTTCCAAGTCCCGGCCTCATCCCTCCTCACAGCTCTGCTCTGGTCTCCCTGTGCCCCTCAAGCCCATCTCCTCTTCCTGTGGCTCTCTATGTGGCTGCCTATTTCACTGGGGCAGGGCTTAGGCCTCCCTTGACCTCGCAGACTAAAAGACCCCCAGCAAGTCCTCTACTGCCCTCAGGAACGCTGTGCAGGGCTCGGCTGGGTCAGAGCATCTGTGTTAGTTTTTCCCAGTAGCCCATGGACTGGTTCAGGGCAGGGACTGTTTCCTGTCTCCCTAGAGCTCAGAGTCCTGTGCCAATTGGCTGCATGAAAGAGTGACTGAGGAGCCCACTGATCTCAGCCTATAGGAACTTGCTGGTCCCTCAGACCAAAAGACAGTCATCTATCCTGCCCCCGCCCCGGGACAGACAGACACAAGAAAGTCTTACTGGAATTGTAGTAACATTTATTCTGAGAAGCAAGCTGGCTTCCTCTCCCCCTAACCCCATGGGGGCCCCTGAGAGTGGTGCCTAGGTCCGAGTGGTGCGGGCTGCAGGTTCCCTGGGTGATAAGGTGAACAAAATAATTGCTCTCCTTGACCCACCCTCCATCCTCACCTACCCAGTCCCCAAGGACTCCTGGGGACAGAAATCCCAGCCCAGCCAGGAGCCAGCCTGGCCTACCTAGAGGGCTGTTGTACAGTTCTGCTGGGGGTGGGAGGCACACCTGGCCCCCAGGCTGAAGCCCACACTAGCTTGCCACCTGGTCCTGATTTGCCCCTGTATCCCAGGGAGATATGGCTGAACAAAAGACCGTAACAGCCCCAGAGGCCCAGGCTGGCTTACCTAGTGCTCACCTCTCCAGCCCTGACTCAGGAGTCCTGATTTCGAGTAGATATTGAAAAGTGGTGATTACGTGAATGTGTACATAGTGTGTAAGCATTCAGAGATATACACGGAGATGGGGTATCCCCTGCCCTTACACAGCACTTGCTAGCGAGAGTGCTGACAAATAGGAACCAACTTTGCAGAGGGAGAAATAGAGGCACAGGAGGTTTAAGTGACTTGTTCTTGGTCATGTGCAGAGTTCCAGTCCCAGGTTCTCGAGGAAAGCTGTGGCTCATGAAAAGGAATCCTCTTGTGCTCCTTTCCTTCGGGTCCTGGCCCCTGCTGTGGCCCAGGGCCAGGATCCAGGAACACAACCAGCCATGGAACAAGGAGGCAAAATCAGGATCCAGCACTTCCAGCCAGGTCACCGGCCCACACTTCAAGGTCTGGAGTCAAAGTTCAGGTTCCCAAAAGGAATTCCTGCTCTTGAACCAAATGCACTTCTCATTTGCTTGCTGTGTTGGGTCTGGAAGACCAAGGCGGGCACTGAGAAGACCCTAAGTGGATCAGGGCACCAGCAGGCAACAGTTCTCCAGGGACACAGTTGGCACTAGCCAACAGATGTCCAGATACACATACGTTTATCATCACCTTCCTGCAGACCACCTGGGAGAAGGTTTGGTTTCGTCCACATCTCTCCCCAGGTGAGGTCAAAATAAAATCAGAAGACCAGCAACGCTAGAGTTCAAGGAAGAAGAAGAGGGTTCAGGGTTTCCTTTAAAAAACCCTGCTTAAAATTGATTTCTAAAGCAGAAAGAATAGAAAACAGTGAGGACTAAAAAGAACATTTTGGTCCAGGCAGCAAGAGCACTGGCCTCCTCAGCTCTTTGGGGGAATGTTGGCAGAGGGGCCTCTGGTCAGGCAATGAAGCTGCCTGTCTCCTGCCATGCCCACCAGGTGACATGATCCCAGGGCTGGCACCACCCACTCCAGAGTCCTTTCTCCTAGGAGCCTTGCGGCAGAGGGGAGCACTGCTCCCCCATGGGTCCCCCTCGCCCCTCTGCCCACCTGACACCCTAGCTGGGCACATTCCTTTCCACATCAGGTAGTGGAGGCAGGCAGTGCCCCCTCCTCACCCATGGCTGCGCTCTTTCCAGAGACCTCAGACCAGGGACTGTGGGTGACACCAGAGCTTGGAGTAAGCTGGCAGCTGCAGCTTCTCTCTGAGAAGACTCGAGGGCAGAGGCCGGGCCCAAGGCGGAGACGAGCTCCACTCCTCTGGAGCCTCTTGGACGTTGCTTACTCATTTGCCAAATCTCTACAGAATGAATACATGGATGGGTGAGTGGACAGGATTAGAGAATGAACAAATACCACCCACACATTTCCCAAATTCTAGCCTGAGCAGGAACCCAGCAGGTGCCTGGCAAGTCCTTTCAAGGTGGCTTGAAAACCAGGTGTAGGTCCCACAGGAAGGGCGGTCTGGGAAACTAGAGTGGACCGGGGAAACGAAGGGCTGGAATGGGGCTTGGGGACATGGCAGTTTGTGTGTAAACAAGTGACATCTTCTTGGCACTCCTCGGCAGACAGCAGAGCCTTGGGGAAATATTTTCAACGGATAGAGTCCCTTAAGAGCGGTGACAGCTGGGGTGGGGAGGGCTATTTTAAATCTCAGGCAGGAAGACGCCCTCATAAGAAGGGAATGCTTTGGGGTCCTCAGGATACTGAGGCTCTGAGGGGTGCAGAGATCTCCCAAGGTCACACAGCAAGTCAGAGGGAGAATGGGAAAAGGACCCCAGTGTCTTGGCTCCCGTGCTGGTCCCAGGTCTCCTGGTGTGGACATGCAGGTGGTAGTCAGAATTTTGGGGGCCAGGTAGACAGGCAAGTGTCAGATAGCGGTGAGGGAGGCACTGCTGACGATGTGCACAGCAACGGTGCCCGGCAAGTCGCTGGGCTGCCGACGACTGCGGTCTCGCAGGTGGAGGGTATGCAGGGCCTGCAGGTCATCAGGTTCAGCCTTCAGCTGTACTTGGCCCAGGAACTCATCCTTCAGGATACGGTGGTTCCAGATCTGGGAGGAGACAGAGGACCGTGGGAGCGACCATCCCTGAGACCAGGAATACAACTTTGGTGGATGCTGGTGGTGGTTCCAGAATCACCCCCAGAGTGTGGGCCTGGCAGGGACAAGAGCCTGGGTTGTCTTCCTCTCTATGAGCCTTGGCCAAGGATGTGCCCCTTCCAGAGCCTTGGGCTCCCCATCTGTCAAAGTGCTCTTCCATTCATAAAGATTATTAGCTCTGCTGTTGACCTTGGGTGAACTTGGACAAGTGACCTTCCCCACCCGCCCTAGGTTCCCCATCACTAATATGAGGGTTGGATTTGCCCCCTGGGTCCTTCTAGCCCCAATAGCTATGGGTCTGTGATTTGACCCAGTGGGACCCAGAGTTAAGAAAACTTGGAAAATCTACAGTGGCTCCCCTGGGGTCCCCAAGTGTTTGTTTACAGATGGTTTCTCACCCAGAGAGATGCTGCTCTGGGCCTGGGGGACAGAGAGCTTCCTGCTAATGAGCTCAGAGTCATCGTGCACCAGCCACCTTGGCCTGAGAGGAGAAGGAAGGCTGTGTCCAAGGACAGTGGCTTTCTAGCCCCTGCTCCAGGCTCTTAGGAAACAACCACAGCCCATACCATCTCAGCAGCCCTGTCCACATGATCCGTCCACAGAGGACTCTAAGGAACAGCTCCCAAGGCTTTGGGCAAGGCCATCGGAGGTGACCAACGTACCCAGCCAGGAGACTGACCCTGCTGGGTCTCTGAATCACACTGGCTACTCCAGCCCCATGCACAACCCTGATGCTGGTGCAGCAGGAAATGTATGCAAGAGAATACCAAAGCCATGCTGGGAGTGAGGGACAGACCAACAACCAGAGCCTAGCACCCCTGGGTCCCTGTCAAAGGCTCTTCTTCCCTGCTCCTGTGGACGCACCTGGACAGTGATGGGCTGGCCCGGCTTCTTGCGGTAGAAGATGCCTTTCACATTGTACTCGGGCGTTGAGGTCCCTTTCTGCACAAGCGAGTGAACTTTTTCCCCCTCACACTTGATGATCACGTAAGAGTTGGCCCCTAGAGACGCAGTGAGAGCTAGGGTGAGGGTGGGCTGAAGGATGGCCTGGGGGCTACGGATGTCTGGGAGGTGAGACACCTACCTGGCCTCAGTCATGCAAGGGAAAGCAAAGGTTGGAGCCCCACCTACCACATGGCCCCTGAACTTAAACAGACAGGCGGGCTAGTAATCTCTGGCTTCCAGGCCTTTACCGCTGTCCAGAGCACCTCTTCACCAGGCTTCATACCCTGATATCTTTTCAGCCTGCAGAAGCCCTCCCTGAGCACTCGTGCCACGTGTCTGTTCCATGATCTGACCTCCCCACATGCAGGACGCTACCAGGGCAGGCAGTAGACCTACTCCTGTCTTTGTGCCCATGTCCCCCCACTGGATGCCAGAAAAGTTTTGCTGACCACTAGGTGAGCAGGAGAGCTCTGGAGGCTGAGGCTGCTCTGGAATGAGGGGCCCGGGGCAGCTACCCACAGAACCAGGGCCTTTCCTGGTAAGCTCACCTGTCGTGGAGTCCTTCAGGCCTGCAGCTCCCAGGACATGGACTTGGGTCACTCGCTGGGGGTAGCCACACAGGGAGCTCCAGCAGGTGCGGGGGGGCTCATCCAGGCGCAGCTCTCTGATGGGGAGGGGTGACGGGTGCCAAGAAGACAGGTGAAGACGGGTTCTAATAGTGACATCAAGTATGGGTCCCACACCAAGGTGGGGAGGGCAGTATGGGACACCCAGCAGGGATGGGGATGGTTTCAGCAGCGCCTGGGTCCCCAGAGCCAGTTCCCACCCCATGGGATAGGGCATAATGGCAGCAAGACCCCAACCCTGGAATGAGGCCAGGCAGATGGTGGGTGGTCACCACGACCACTGGCCTCAGACAACCCTTCTAGCTTTGATCTTCATTTTCATATGAAAAGGGAGCAGTCAGGCCTCCTGCTCAGGGGCAGGGAACAATGAAACGAGGTGAGTAAAGCTTTTTTGTAAATGGGGAAGTGCAGTATACCTGACCCACTACTCCTAAGGGCTGGGATAGGAGCGCAGGGGAGGGGAGAGGAAGGAGAGGGACACAGGGTCAGGCCGGGAGGGCTGGGCTCCATGCCTCAGGTAGACATTCAGCACCACTTGGCTGAGCCCTTTGGGGCCCAGTGTGAACTGTGCGCCACCAACCCTGGCCCCACACAGCCCCACACACCGGCAGTGGGAGGGCACATCTGTGAAGACGCGGAGCAGGAACTCGCCAGTGTGGCCTGGCTCGAAGGTGGTGGGGATGATGACGTAGCGGCCCTCAGGCTGGTCCGTGCGTAGGAAGACGCTGCGGGAATTGATGTAGATGGAGCTGGCGGCCTTGTGCTGCAGGCTGTGCATGCGGTACTGGCGATTCTCTTCCACCTGCAGGAAACACAGGGGCTGGGCCACGTGCAGCCCCCACTGCATCCAGCCCACCCATCTGCCCCTTGCCGGAATCCATGCAAGTGAGCTATCCAGAACACGCAAAGAGATTAGCGTTAGCTGCGGGCTGGGCTGAAGGGGAGGAGGGTCACGGAATTGGGCGATGATGGCCTACGGCAGCAGGAGGGCGATAAAAAATTTCCAAAATTGTATGTGGTAATGGTTGTGCAACTCTGACGACACTAAAGGCACGAGGTTATATACTTTAAATGGGTGAGTTGGGCAATCTACGAATTATACCTCAAAGAAAGCTATTAAAGAAGGACAGCAAAGCTGGCAGTGGTGGCACACAGCTGTAACCCCAGTACTCTGGGGGCTGAGGCAGGCAGATCGCAAGCTCAAGACCAGCCTGGGCAACAAAGGGACTTGGTAAAACCCTTTCTCAAAAAAAAACAGTTTAAAAGAGCTAGGGATGCAGCTCAAGGCAAAGGCCTTAGGTTCAACCCCCAACACCCCCCACAAAAGAAATGTCCAAAGGACCCTAGTAAGTTCCTCTTTTTTCTGCAGTTCTGCTTTTGATGGTTTCAGTTACCTGGAGTCAACTCTGCACTGAAAAAATTAATTTAAAAATTCCAGCAGTAAACAATTCATACATTTTACATTTCACAATGTTCTTGAATACTGTGATGAAATCTTATACCATCCTGTTTCACCCCACTCAGGGTGTGAATCACCTTTTTGTCCAGCATATCCATGCCGCCCATATACACGACCTGCCCATTCTCACTAAGCAGCTGTGCTGTGATCAGTACAGTGAATAGGGTCTGGTATTTTCCTTAGCTCAGGCATCCACTGGGGGTCTTGGAACACCCCCCCCATAAGGGGGGAACCTACCGCATCATGACCTGGCTACGTCACAGCACAAATCCATGAAATGGCATCACCAGCTGCCAAGATATGCTACAAAGTTCTCAAAACAAGAGCCATAGAATGCCATAGTCACAATAGTGAAGGCCATGACATACCAAAGTCAAAACGAAGTGTCACATTAGCACACAAGCGTGCACCATCACAGTGATGAGCATAAACTGCCTTGACGTGACCCAGGACATCAAATGCCAGGACCCGGCATGGACCGAGCATTTCACATGTCCATGTGCTTCCCTCCAGTTCTGCAGGGGGGTGGTATGACAAATATGTGGGGTCCTGCTGGGCCAAATGTCACTACACGCTGGGTGTCACACATGGAAGTCCCATTTTTAGGTCACAGGGCGGGGCCAACAATGTGGCTGCCTGGCTCTGCCCAAGGATGCTCACCCGTGCACAGGAGGCCACAACACAGGGGCTGCAGGAGATGAGAGAGGCCCTGAGCCCTGAGGGAGGGACGTGGGGGAGCCACGCGGCACTCAGGGGATCCCAGAGCTCAGCCCCAGCAATAGCAACCCTCTTCCTAACCCACCCGACAGTCTATGCTGTGGGTCTCAGGCAGGAAGAAATCAGTCAGGCCCAGCAGGCTGGGTGCTCTGTGGGCACATGATGCATCTCCACGATGTTATCCAACGCAGCCAGGACAGCTGCAGTAAGGATGGTGACCAAGGTGTTCTCGAGTGCCCTCCCCAGGCCGGGAGCCCAAACTCCAGCTCCCTACACTCCTCACCCACAGCAGGGGTCCCCGCTGGCCTCACCTTGTAGATGTCAAAGCCAATGGCCAGGTTCTCGCCTTTGCCCTCCCTGCGGGTAGATCTTTTGGGCCGCTGCTGGATGCAGATCAGCACTTCATCTTCTGGCTTCTTGACCTCAAAGATGTACTGTAGGTTTGGCCAAAGAGACAGACACTGCCATGAGACCACGTCACAGATGAACTCAGCAGCCTGGCCCCAGCCGCCATGCGCTGCCTGAGCTTGGCCAGTCCCATCAGCTCTCTGAGCCTCACCTCTCCTCTGTGACATGGGGCCGCTAATGCCTACGACAGCTACGCTGTACGAAGACTGGGAGAACTCGGGAAATAATGGATGCTCAGCCCACAGCCTGGCACACAGCTGGTGCTCAATAAAGGCACATCAAGCAGTTGCCATGGGTTGGGACATGGACTGTGGCCAAGATCCTCAGGAACCAGCAGAATCACGCTGTTGTAGAAACAAAGGGTATGATTCCCAGCCTGGCCTCTGAGACTCTGGGCAAGATGCTCAAGTTTCCTGAGAGCCAGTTTCCTTATTTTTCACCATCTACAGGTCCAATTGTAAAGCTGGGCTTCATCACCCCCAGAGAGGCCAGTGTGTCCGCCCCACTGTACAGATGGGTATGCGGAGGCCCAAGGACAAACAGGGAGGCATGCAAGGCCATGCCGGGAGCCTACGGTCGGACACCGGTGGGGGCCCCCACACGTGTGCAGGGGAAGGGTGGGGGTCCCCGAGCACGCCCACCTGTGGGTTCTGGAAGAATGTGTCTTTGTGGTTGATGCAGCCCCCGCTGCGGTTCCGCCACGGGTCCTCGTGCTGTGTCCAGGCCCCTCGCAGCCGGGCCTCCTCCCATGTCTTGTGGATGCTCAGGTAGGACGTGTTGAGGAGGCGGCACTTGATGATGTCCGTGAAGTACTGGCACATGTCCTCGAAGGTCATCCTGGGCACGGGGCAGGCCACGTGAGGCGGCTCCCAGGCCCGCCTGCCCGCCTACGCCACGCGCTCTGAACCCCAGCCACGTGGCACCACACAGACCCTGAACCCCTTTCGGCCTCAACTTCCTCATGTGTAAAATGGCAATGAATCTGCCAACAGTGCCTGTCTCACAGCGCTAGCATAGGAATTAACCCGTCTACGCCAAAGATGGCAGTGTTTTGAATGTTTGCATGAAATTCATGTACGTTACCTAGAAAAACTCAAGGAACAAGAATTTGAAGAGAAAAAATTGTATTATATTCCCTTGTTACGGGTGTTCCAAAGAGGGAACACTAGGCGTTGAGGGGTTAAGCGGGCCAATAAACACAGCGCGACTTTCCTTTCGGCAGACACTGGTGGGGGTTGGCTCTGGCTGCCGCAGCCAGTGTTAAAAGTATCAAGAACGAATGCGTACAGCCCTCTACAGCATATAAAGCCTGTTTCTACCCACAGGCTTTCGCATCTGGTCTGAGGCCTCGATTTAAACACGGTGCGCACCCCATGGTAAGGCTGTGGCCGTGGCCTGGGCGCAGGGTCAGCAGACGCTATGCATGCCTCCAGGATCCCGTGCGTGAAGGGCCGCAGGAGGCAACCCTTTCCATGGAGGAGGGGTTTGGCTATGTTTTAATTCAACTGACCCCTAAGCCAGATTGGACAAGGTGAATCTTGCCCACAGGGGCAGAGGCCAGGGGACCTGGGTGGCCCGCAGCAGCTTCCTGGTGCCTGCAGGAGGGGTCCTCGATGGGGTGCCAGGATCACTGCCATCTGCCCTGTTCTCTGGGGCCTACAGCATCTGCCTCACACAGGGTACCCCTTACCTGCCAGGGTGACCAGTCTCCCAACCAAGTGTTCTGCTGAAGGTGACACCGAGCATGGCACAGAGATGGTACAGAGCACAGTGAACGAGCGCAGGCAGGCTGTCCCAGAGCAGCCCCTGGGCTCCTTAATCTCAGCTGCTGCCCTCTCCCCTCTCCCTCCCCACACCCCCAGTTCCCTGCTTTTCTGAACTCCCTCTTCCCAGACTGCGAGAGGGGCACTCCCGCACCCAGCCAGGTCCCTGCAACCCGTCTCAGCTTTGGAACGAGTTCCTGTATGGGGCCTCTCTTCGCCACTGCCTCCTCCTGGCATCACACTGCCAGCTGCCCCTGCCCTCAGGTCAGCCCCCACTTGCTGGCATCCTGGGCTTCTTGCCAAGAGCTCGGTCTGGGGCCAGAGCAGCCAGGCGGGGGGGGGGGGGCAATTGCTTCTCAGCCTTTTGGCTAAGATCAAGTGCAGAGCAGCCGGGGGTGCCCTCAGGAAAGGGCCCATTACTGCCCAGCTCATTTTACAGAAACTGAGGCTCAGAGATGGTGTGACTCACCCAAGGCCACACAGCAGGCTGGTGATGGGGCTGTGCTGGAGCCCTGCCTCCCAAGCTCCCTGCGCCCCTGCCAGTGCTCCCCGCAGGCACTGCCAGAGCACTCACCAGAACTCGCCGTCGTCCTGCACAGTCACCCCCATCTTTTCCCGCTCACTCTTGCTCACCTTCTGCCACTCCTCTGAGCTGGGAGAGGGGAGGAAGCAGCGTAAGAGGCGCAGGCCCCACCAGCACTTTCCAGCAGGGTAAGGAGGCTGGCGGACAGCCAGACCCAGGCCACCCTGGGGGTTAGGGACACGGGGGCCACACCCAGCCTGCTGTGCCCCTCCCACAGGGAACTGTGGGCTGTCCTGGTCCAGGCCAGGAGGTCTGGAAGCGAAGCGGCAGACCAGGAATGGAGGGGGAGAGCCTGACCCCCCAGACGGGACACCTTTGCTAGGGGTGAGCACTGCCCCACTCCGGGCCTCCTCCTGCAGGGCTCACAGCATCAGCCCCACACACTCACGGCCGGAGGCTGGCAGCCTGCACATCCCTGCCCGCTGTGCCTGTTCCCTTCAGCGAGGTCCCTATCGCCTCCAGGCCTCTGCCTTTGCCAGAAACTCCACTCCCCACCCCACTCCAAACTCAGTCTCCCTCCTCTTCCTGATGCCATCCTCCCCGCATCCTTCAGAACCCGCCCCAGTACCACCTCTTCCAGGAAGCCCGCCCATCCTTTCCTATCCCTGGGCCTCACGTGTCACTCCAGGGCCCATTCCACTCCCGCTCGCCCCAGGGGTTGCGCAGGCGGATCATGTCCAACTTCTCCGACTTGAAGAAGGCCAGCAGGCCATGGCCCAGGCGCACCTTGCGCACGTCGGTGACGGCATATGCATGGCCCTTCACCAGGCCACATGCCAGGCGTGCCTCCATGTCAGCTGCTGTCACTGCCTGTGGGAGGAACCAGGTGCTCAGAGAAGCAGGGACAGCCTGGAACCCTAAAGTCCTATAGGCATTGCCCCCTACAGGGAGGAAAGGGAACTGCATCCGCCCACCAGGGTAGACCTTGCGGGCTGTGATTGAGGACAGTGCTGTATTCACAGATTTTACAAACCCCTGCCACCAGCAGTGTGTGGGAAGGGAAGCGCCCACCCTGGGGACAGCTCCACAGTGTGTCAGGGCCAACTTGCCCGGGCTCAGGTGACTGCTAAATATTCAGGAATTCTAAGAACTGGCTATTAAGGCATTGGTACCTGGAAAGTGACTGTGATAGGAATGTTCACACCACTGAAATCAGGCCTTTTCTTTTTCTGGAGAACCAGTTTATCAAGCACCATAGGACCGGCTCTACCTGGGTTCAAATCCTATCTACACTACTTGGATTCTCATTAGAACCCAAGCAATTAATGTTAATGAATTCAGATGAACCTCTTGTGGCACTGACCCAGGGCCCGCCTGCCACAGGGGCTCTAGCTGCCCCCTAGCTTGATGCCTCACAGCTTGACTGAGGGACCTCAGATGAGGTGGCCGGGGGCCTGAGAGGGTCAGAAGAGAGGATGTTGGATGCACAGTGTTGGGGGCACAGCATGGCTCCCGTCCCCCCGACTGGTAGTCCAGATTACAAGCTGACTTCACAGCCACCTCCTGAGTCTCCCACTCAGGGTTGGAGAGCACAGAGGCTGCCTCAGGCCTGCTGAGTTCTCACCTTGATGGAGGCGCTGATGAGGCCTCCCCGGCTGTGCACCTTTAACACTCGCTCAAACAGCTGGTTCCTCTTGGCCTCGTCATTGGCAAAGTCACCCTCGGTCAGGTCGATGGGCTCAGAAACGCCACCTGTGAAGTCCACCAGCGCATCTGCTGTGTTGCCTCCATCCAGGGCCTGATAGCAGCCCGCCAGCCTGGGAAACAATGTGGAAAGAATTCCGGGCTCATGCTCCCCAGCCAGAAGAGAGACTTTCAAGACTCAGAGAGGTCAAGCGAACTGCCAAGGTCACACAGAAGGCCACAACATAGCCAACACTAGAGCCTGGCTGCTGACTCCCAGGCCAACATTTGCCCCAGTGATGCATACCATTTCATGGCTCAAATTTCTCTAGGCCTCAGCAGCTCTATCTTCACAAAGTAATCTAGCAATCTTCCCCAAAAAATCTAGCAAATCTTTTCAAAGCTCTGACATCGTTGGACACACCAAGTCTGGATGGTGATTTCTAATGATGTAAATCCAGAAATAACCTAAATGCCTAACAACAGGGAATGACTTTTAAAACTAATGCTGTAAATATACCCTGGAATATTAGACCTTCATAAAAGTACCTGGAAAAGAATTCCTGTAGTAGGGAAAACACTAGTGTTTGCTCGTTACGTTTGAAAGAGCAAAAGACCTGGATTCCTATTATGCTTCAAAGGTATACAGTAATTTATTTTAAAAATATTTATTGGCCTAAAGGAACCAATCATATGAAATCAGAGAGATCTGTGTTCCTGGGGTGGGATAGGGACGAACTTTAAAAAAAATTTATTGTGCATTACTATGTAATTACATAGTAGAGAATCAAAGATCTGAGAAGTGGAAAAAAATATAACAATACTACTCACACAAGTTGAAAATATATGCTCACAAAACAGCAACAAAATTTGGGTAAAGTGATCTACAAACAAAAATGCAGAGCCGGGGATATAGCTCAGTGCAAGGTCCTGAGTTCGATTCTCCATACCAAAAAAAAAAAAAAAAGCATCAAAGATGTTGAAAGAGCTCTCATTGGTAGGAGAGCAGAGGGGAAGGAGAACAGAAAGGGAAGAGGGTAAGTGGAGGCACAGGGCAGGGTGCTTTAAACAGCAATGCTGCTAGTTAATTCAAGACCCCCCAGAACAGGGAGGGAGGAGGCGGCAGGGGGAGGGGGACACTGATCCTCTTGCTTTCCTGTACTTCCTGGATTGACTCTTGCAGACATGCTTTCCTTTCTATAATTTAAGAAGTAGGGGCTGGGGATTTAGCTCAGGGGCAAAGCGCCTGCCTGGCAAGCACAAGGTCATGAGTTCGGTTCCCAGTCCTGAAGAAAAACCAAAAACCAAAAAAAAAAAAAAAAAAAAGAAGTAAATAAACATAAAAACAAACAAGTATAAAATGGTGCAGCCATCATGGCAAACAGTTTGGCAGTTCCTTAAGAAGCTAAACAGAACCACCTTTGAGCAAGCAACGCACTCCCAGGTACAAATTTTTAAAAGTGAAAGCAGAGGCTCAAACAGACATTTGCACACCCATGTTCACGGGAGCATTATTCACATGGCCGAAGTGTCCATCTGCTGATGAGCAGAGACAAAAAATGTAATGTACACATGCCGCGGAAGGGTACTCAATCATAGAAGAGAAGAGAAATCTTGATAGGTCCCAAAACATAGGCGGACCTTGAAGGCATCATGCTAAGTATAAGAAGCTGGACACAGCTGGACAAATACTGTAGGTTTCACTTACAGGAGGACTCAGAAATAGGCAGATTCACGGAAAGCAGAAGAGAGGGTGTCTGGACTAGGGGGGTTGGCAGGGACGGGTGAGGAAGTTACGTGTAAAGAGCAAGTTTCCCCGGGGGATTATGACAAAGTTTTGGATGCAGAGGGTGGTGGCGGTACACAGAATTGTGTTAATGACCTGCCACTAAGTTACAGGTTTGTGCACGGTTAAGATGAAAAATACTGTGTTACTTATGTTTTACCATAATAAAATTTTTTTTAAAAAGCAAAAATGAGGAGGGCACAGCAAGTGGCACGTGCCTATACACAGTCCTAGAGACCACACAGGCTGAAGCAGGAGGGCGGCTTGAGCACAAGAGTTTGAGCCCAGCCTGGACACAGACAGACCCAGTCTCAAAAACAAAGCAAACCAACCAAACAAGAGCGGGCCCAGCCAGTCAGCTTGCTAGAGAGTGGCTACACTCTCAGTGGCCACCAGGGGGCAGGGTTTGCTTTTTTAGGATTAAAAATGGTACAGCTAGTGTATTTTCTTGGGTTTGTTTTTGCTGTTAGGAGTTTTTGATTCTCTCTTTCCTCCTTTCTGTGTGCCCCCATCCAAGGAGACTGACAAGTGGGCCTGGGAGGAGGAGCCCGGAAGAGGCTCTGTCTGGGTTGGTCTCCAGCACCCACTGATACTCCTGTGACCCCAGATGTGCAAGGGCCTGGGCAGGTCACTCTGCCCCCAAATCCTCCATGGCTCAGTAAACCTTTGCTCTGCCTACTCTGTGTCAGGCCCTCTACTGAGTGTGGGGAATACTCACTACAGGAGGAGGGTCAGTAAGGACGGAGAGTCAGACAGACAGCTAGATGAATGAGGGACACAAGCCAAATATCTGGTTGGCCCCTCAAAACCCAGGCCAAGCTCAGTGCCCACACCTTCAGCACAGAAGGCCCAGCAGGCAGCATGCACCTCCAGGCAAGGCGCATGGATACGCATGCGCCTTATGGTCTCAACTACCTGCAGGAACCATGCCCGGGCCTCAGGTTGCTCTCTAGTAAGAGTTCACTGTTCCTCCCTCGTGGGGTCCAGGCTCCCACCCCACCCAACGCGGGCGCAGCTGAAGAAACACCCCCTGGAGCTCTCGGTAGCACCACCCAGCTTGGTCACCTCCTGCGTGTGGTGTCACCTACTTGGCGTAGGCCTTCTCCACCAGGGCGCACCAGAACTCGTTGCGGGAGTTGGAGTGGCAGTAGATGAGCTGGTTGTTCACTGTGGGCAGCCGGTCATCAATGACCACATCCACCCACTCCCCAAAGCGCCAGAAGTGGAAGTGGAAGATGCCGGCATAGGCGTCAGGCTTCTCGGGGTCCCACTCCTGCTCCTTCCAGTCTGGGATGACCTGGGTGAGGAGAGCCGGGACAGGATGTGGACATACCGAGTGGTATGTCTGGCTCCTGAGGAAATGGGGAGGCATGCCTTTGAGGAACTAGAATGGAAAGGAGTATTAGCTTGTGCCCCGTCTGGCCCACGCAGGAAGGAGGTGGGACTCAGCCTATCTCACCTCCTGGCACCAGGTTCCCCAAGTCTGCTGGGATTAGGAGCTACTCTCCAGCTGTGCCTCTCCAGCTGTGCTTCCCTAAGACCTCCCTGGAGCTCCCCCTGAAGCCTCCTTGCGCTCCCTGTGCCCTCTGGCAGGCTGCTCCAGTCCCAGCATTTTCCTGAAACCCGTCTCCCTCTCCATCCTGCTGCCATCACACTGGCCGAAGTTCCTGTCACCTCTGTGACAGCATCTGCAGTCGCAGCTGCCCTTGCCCCACATAGCAGCAGACCGACACGACCGTGTCGCCCCTCCACAGCCTCGCTTCTGTACTCCCAGGGGCAGCCCCGCCCCGCTCCCTGCTCCATGAGCTCCCCACCCATCTCCTCACCCACTTCAGTGCCTATTGTCCCCCTCCACGATGCTCTCCCTGACTGCAGGCCAGGCCCTATCCACCAGACTCAGCCCCTGGCACTTTTATTCCGATACTTGAAATTACATTAAATACCCACGAGACACTGTTCAGTGTCTGAAACTATGCCTGGAACATCAGTTCTCACAATAACCCCATGAGGGTGGATCAGTACTATCCAGCCCGACCTGACAGACGAGGAAACGGAGCCTCAGAGAGGCCAGGTAACTTGTCTAAGGTCACTCTGCAGAAAATATACACATTCCTCATGGAGCACACAGATCTGAGTCTGAAGCCAGGATTCAAACCCATGCTGGACACTGAGCACCCAAGATGTACAAGACCTGGCCCCTGCCCTCAGGAGGACCCCAGGTTGGTGGGAGAGGCAGGCACAGGGTAAAGAGCTCAGGCTAACACAGGGGGCATGCAGAGGCATGGAGAGAATGGTGGGGGGGCGGGGTTACCCTAAAGGCCAGCAGCAGCTCTGAGCAGGTGTCCTGACAGCTGGCACGGGGTGTGACCCAAGCATAAGAGGACACATAGGCAATCTGGGCCAAAGGAGGTGGGCAGGGAAGAGCAACACCGCCCTCCCCAGGGCAGGGTAACTGCAGAGCACAGCACCAAGAGCAGCTGAGCAGCTCCTTCTAGAAGAAAACCACCCCGGTGCACAGAGCAGAGCCGGGCCCTAGGCACAAAGGCCGAGCCAGGCATAGCACAGGAGCTTCCAGTTCTTCAAGCTTCCAGTTCTTCAGGCTTCCAGTTCTTCAAGTCGGAGCCTAAGCCAGCCTGAGCCTCACTCCCCACCCCCTTGCTCACCAAGGATGCTTTTGTTTACGCTTTTGTTTTTTGCGTAAACAAAAAGGGCAAGGGCTAGGCCCAACCCTCAACAGTGACGTTTGGCAAAGCGAACGCTCCCTAGTGGGACGTTCAAGACCAAGAAAATAAAAATGCTAATCCAGGGAGAGGCATTACCACCACTACTGTAGCCTTGCTCTGTGCCAGACAAGGGGCCGGGCTGTTTACAATATCACCCCTCCGCTCACAAGCAGCTTTGGGGATGAGGCTGGGAGAGTGGCCAGCAGAGGCAGCCCTGGGGACGGGTGAAAGAGACAGGATCCAAACCTGGGCTTCAGAGCCTGTGATCCTGTGTCTGGAACCCAGCAAGGCTCAAGACTCGTTGCTTCCTGCCCTCCACCTCCTCCCCTACTTTCTGCCAACTCTGTGTCCTGTTTAAGTAAGGAACTCCCCGGCTGGCCCCTACCCCAGCTTTGTGTGCTCTCTCCCCACTTTGCTGTCAAGAGAGAAAACTGTATCAAAAATGAGCCCCTTGCAGGCCGGGAATGATCACCCCCACTGCACAGGTGGGCAGGCTGAGTTCCAGAGAGAAGCTGGAAGCTGCCCAAGGGCTCAGCTAAGCTGGGAGCAAGGGCTAGGCCCATGGCTCCCCTGCACCCTCCTCTCCTGTGGTCCGTTCTGAGTGTTCTGGATTGCATAGGGAGGAGGGAGGCGGGCAGCTGTTGCAGGGTGCAGGAGGTACTCTGGGACCTCAGAAAGATCATTAGACCAACTCAGGGCTTGGCCCTGAGCTGTCTGCAGCTCAAGAAGCAGCTAATGAGGCTCCAGAGCCTGGAGACCCAGAGTCAAGGATCCCAGGGGCCCCAATTTCCCCTCCTGCATCCCAGCCAGTGGACCTGACACGGCTGGGTTCCACAGCCTTCTCATTGCTCAGCCCCTCTGCCGCCGGCGGGGTACTGAGCTGGCGGGAGGAGACTATCCAGCAAGCGTGCTCCCATGTGTACATACACCAACACCCTCCCAGCACACATCTGGCCGTGTTGGAAGTCAGGGAGCCACCAAGCCTCCTGGGGTCATGTCAAAGGAGTCAGGAGGTACCCGAAGAGGTTCTCATCAGCTTCCAAGGCCATTCTGAGAGTCAGTAAGGATAAATGAAATAGATTAAAACACAGTATATAGGATCATGTTTACAAGGTCTTGATGACATGGGACAAACAGTCATTGTTGGAGGAATGCAAGAAATCAACTCATCTTTTTGAAGCAACTTTTTTTTTTTGGTACCAGGAATCGAACTCAGGACCTTACGCTTGCTGAGCAGACGCTTATGGCACTAAGCTATATCCCTGGCCCCAACGCATCTTTTTGAAACTAGGAAATTAGATGAAAGAATTTAGCACTGATCCTGCCTTTGTTCCACACACTGTACCACAAGGTAACCAAAAAGTGGGTGACGTGAGGTCTCTACCTGGGTAAGAATTCCAGCTAAGAAACAAGGAAGAAATGATAATATTGGACCATCTTGCAACCACTGAAGAATTAATAAATTTAGCCAAAGATCCCTGATGGGTTGTCTGACCATGAAGAAAGAGACAGGCAGATATTCTGCATCTTCAGAATGAAGAATGTGACATCTGTGAAGCACCATGCAAAAAGCAACTGTCCCTGGACCTGATAAAGCCTCTAGGGCCAAGTCCTAGTTTACAGGAAATGCAGAGAACGGAGAACCTGTTAATACTGCAAGGGTGCAGTCAAAAAGACTCAGACAGTGGAAAATCCCAATTGGACCAGTGCCCAGTTTCTTCATAAATAAACCTTAAGGAAAAATAAAAAGAAAGGGCAATCAACCAACTGCAATTAAGGATCTCTGGCATCCCATTCAAACAAACTATAATGTGTGCGCATACTTGTGGCACAAACTGAAAACTAGAACACTTGTTGGGCATTTGATGATACAATTTGATCACCCCTAATCCAAAAATCGGAAATGCGAAACTTTTTGACTGTGGACATCACACTCAGAAAAATTTTTTATTTTGGAGCATTTCAGATTTTGGACTTTCAGAAGAGGGGGGGATGTTCAACACCTTTACAATTTGTGTCTAGATGTTCTCCCGAAGCCTCATGAAGTCAGCAGGGGCAAGATTTTCAGAGGTGGCTGAATCTAGAGTTTGTGATTGATTCCTGGTAAAATGTTGCGATTGAGGATGTGAGTGCTACACCTGACCTAGGGCAGGCAGCCTGCATACAGTATAAGAGACAAAGAGGCTTGCCCCTTCTCTCTCTTGCTGCTTTTGCTGTTTTCCTCCACCATGAACTGTTGCCCCTCTGCCACGTGCCACCCTGTCTTGGAGTTAGCCGATATGGACTGAAACCTCTGTGAACTGTGAGCTAAATAAACCTTTCCTCCCTTAACTTTGGGCATTGGGTATTTTGTCTCAGCAATGAGAAAAGTAACTAAGACAAACTACTAAAGTACAGCAAATATTCTAAAATCTGGAAAATCTCTGAAGTCTGAAACACTTCTGGACCCAAGGATTGTGGAGAAGAGATACTCCACCTGTATCAAGGAATGATTCTAAAACATCTCAGCTGGATTGTGGTTATTATCTCATGACCCTCTCTCTCACAGCTGTATCCAGAAACATTTACAGATGAACTGATACGCTGCTGGGGTGGGGGTAGCTGACAACCCTTGTTGTGAAGGGATGGATACAAGGAGCCGAGTAGGCGGTGCTCTCTACTCTTGAGGTGTGTATAATTGAAATTCTCCATCACCACAGACACCACACAGGCTGGCAGCGAAAGCTCTGTGTGCGGGCCCTGCTGGTCCTCACCTCATGCCTCAGCACACCTCCTGTGGGCCCTGCAGAAATCGACCATGCCTGCCAGGCACTCCAGGATGCCTTGTGCCACCTCACCCCTCTATGTGTGCGTCCATCTGCCTTCACGTCCCCTTCACCTGTCCCATAAGGGTTAGTCTCAGGCACAGCTGGGGAGCCCCCTCTTGGCTCACCAGCCTGGTCCCTTTCCTCCATGACAGGGAGGAGCTCCATAGGGGCAGGGGCCAAGCTGGAGTTCTCTCCAGTCCCCAGCACACCGCCCAGGGCCTGGCTCAGCTCCGAAGCTGACTGGAGTCTTGCTGAGAGGAAAATCCCCAATGCTGATGACGGTGAAGCTCCCAACCAGCTGGTAACCTTGACACTACTTAATACCACATTATCAACCTCCTGCATGAGAGGGACTTAAGTTTGAACTGGGCCACCTCTCCAAGCCTCAGTTTCCTCATTTACCTACCCTGCTGCCATGAGCGCTAAAGTAGATAGCCTCAGAGGTACTTGCTACACTGTAGAGGGCTCTCCCATAGGAAGTTGTCCCTTTGGTGTATGGAGTACCCATGTGGGCACTTGCCCAATAAGCAGAAGAACTCAAGGCAGGCAGGGGTAGAGATGCCAGGTCATCCTCCTTCCCAAGAGGACAGTGTCCCGTTTCTCTGGTCCTGGGTTTTCTTGGGAGCTCCTACTCACATCCCAGGGGCTGGACTTCAGCACCCTGGGGCAGCAGCAGCAGACGCAGACATTGCCCAGGCCATGTGACAGAGAGGAGAGGGCTGGGGTCAGGAGCCCAGGGAGGACAGCTGCTCAGGACCTGTGTGAGAACACACACCTGTGAAACTGTGTGCAGACATGGGGACACACAGACGGGGCTTTCCAAATTTCTGCCTGGGACCTCAAGGGCCAGCTCACAGCAATCCTAGCAACACGGGCAGGGCTGTGAGATGCGGGGCGGTAAGGGTGTCCCCATGTCGCCCAGGTTGGGGCAGGTGGGCCACGGCCTGTCTGAGTCCTCAGACTCAGTAGGCTCCTAGTTGGAGCCTCTGAGGTTCCTTGGGTCTCAGCTTCTGATTCCAAGAGTCTCACATTTCCCAGGGTTCAGATGCTGGGACTGAAAGAGTCCAGGAAGAGCTGGTGCCATCGCCATCTGCTCCCTAGGGATTGGGCAGCTAATGTTACAAGAGGCTATAAGGATTCTTATGCCGGCTGAGGCCAAGACCTGGGCAGATCCTCAGCCTTGGGCAGACCCTTCCCCTGGGCCTCTGCTCCCCAGCTACAATGTGAGGGCTAAGCATCCTCTCAGCTGACCATTTGAGCTGGGCAGTTGCACAGCAAGCAGTAAAACGCAGGGCAGGGAAGGGGTGGAGACGCCAGGTCACCCTCCTTCCCACAAGGTCAGTGTCCATTTCCCTGGCTGTGGCAGGAGGATGCATCCCTTGAATGCTCTCTGGGACAACAAGGCCAGGCCTGGTACCTGCCCTCTCTCCACCCGACACTGCCTGCTGCCATAGGCACTGGCCGGCTGGGTTCTCTGGGGCAGTTCCCTTTACATCTCACAACCTTCAGTTCCTGCTCACTTTATAGGTTCTCTTAACCTCTCCTTACACTGCAGGAACTGCAAATGTGTACTAACAAAATAAACAATAAATTTTAAAAAAGAAGAATTTGAAGAGTAAGCACTGGGGCAGCAACAACGGGCACAACAGAGAGGGTGTCGCCCCAGCTCGGTGGAGCTCAAGTGCTTCGCACGTTAACTCAGTCATCCTTTCCAACTTCCCGCTGAAGGAGGCTCAGGGAGGCTGCCTGTGATCACACGGCTGGTCAGCGGCTGCACAGGCCTGGGGCCCGCACCGCTGTGATACCCTGCCTCTGGGTGGCAGAGATTCAGGAAGCGGCAAGGCTCTTTGGTCTATCGTTTCTTGTGGTTTCTGTGGAAAGTGGGCGATTTCCCTATGGTGCGCTCCGGAGACAGAGCCAGGCCACTTCTGCTGTCCCAGAAGTGCTGGACTCCTTGTCCAATGGGACCTCCCCTCTTCCTGAGGCACCTCTAGGAGGGCTGGGAGACAGGCTTGGGGAGGGGTGCGTCAAGGAAGCAGAGACTCCTGAGAAATGGGGCTGCTGGGCTGGGAGGGGTCTTTGGGTGCGATGAAGTGGGAGGCGAGGGAGGCCCCGGGGTAAAGGAGGAGAGGGGCAGTGAGACGCAGCCGCAGGGTTCTGAAGCAGGGTTATTCCTGGGCAGAACTCTGACATGTCCCTGCAAAGGAAGTCACCTGGCTGAGCCTGAGCCGGCGGCGGAAGGGACACATCCTAGGGGCCAGCATTGTGCGATCAGAGGTCGATGAGCCCAGAGTGTGGTCTCTCCTTCTCCATTTCCTCAGGGACCGGGGCAGGAGGCCTCCTCTGGGCCCTGGCTGTCTCTGCCCTCAAAGCAACACATTTGAGAGATGCTGAGGGGAGAGAGAGGTGAAGGACCGGTGGGGCACTAACGTGGCTTGGCTTGTGACCGAAGGTGCTGGTATCAGTGTCATTGGGTTATGGGTTTAACACGGCCAGGACAGCAGGACAGGAAGGGGCTTCACAGGACCAGGCTGCTCCCTCTGGAAGGGCTGGGGCTGGGGGTGGGTCAAGGGCTATCAGAGGACACAGCCAATCGGTGACCAGGCCGGGGGAGGCCAGGCTAAACGCAGGCCCGGGCCTGACCTACTACACCCTTGGCCACTCTTAGGTTCCACGTGCCCCTGCTCAGGCACCCCTGGCCGCCCTTGGCTCCCTCCACCCGCCCCCTAGAGGCTAGTCTGGGGCTATTGTCAGAGCCAGGAGACCTGTGAAACCCAACCCTGAATCCTGATGTAGGGTCTGCAGTCCCTTGACTGCTCTGGTCTCATCCCTGAAACCTGGCAGCAGGAGGGGGCAGGGCATGTGGGAGCCCAGAGAGGACACAGCTCCTGAGGGGGGACAGCACTCACAGTGAGAGACACGCCACCACGGCGCGGGCATACAGCATTTATTGGGGACACGCAGCAGGCACAGCAACAGCAAGAGCACTGCGGACGCCACAGGGCAGATGGGGTGGATCAGGGTAGGGGACGGGCAATCCTGACCGAGAGTGTCCCCAGAGCTGCAGGGGGAAGCCAAGCAAAGAGGCAGAAGGGCGGGGTCCCTACCAGGAGTCTGGTCTTTCCCAGTCCTCGGTGGAGAATAAGGTAGCAAAGGCTGCAGGCAAGGCCCTCTCTAAGCAGGGCCTCAACAGACCCAGAGGTGTGAATTTCAAAGGACCAGAATTCACCCACCAGCCAACCCCTGCCCCACAACATCCTACACCAACACCCTGGGGCTCGCCCTCCAGCAGCCCCACACACCAGGGCCAGTTCCACCCCACCAGTTACCTCCCAGTTCTCAGCATACCTGTTCCCAGGGCCAAGCGCAGCCATGGCTGTTTCAGGAGGGAAAATGTCTTGGACACAACTGGCCAGGGGCAACACAGGGTGTTGTGGGCACTTGTTGAGAGGCAGTAGCAGAAGCCAGCGGCAGACCAGGTCCCTCCGCAAAAGGGGCTCTGGCCCTATGCGGGGTGAAGGAGAATGAAGCTTGGGGCTGGAACTGAGTCTGCTGATAACTGGGCCCGTTTCTCTGTTTGTTTGGTGAGTGGTTGCCCCCGAGGACCTCAGAGGCCAGCAAGACACACCGCTGCTGTCTCCGGCCCACTTCAGAATGTCACCCACGAAAAGGATGTGCAGGGCAAGTCCCTCAGGCCTTCTCCACCCACCCAAGCTGCACCGAAGCAGCCTGGGAAATGCCAAGAGAGGCAATAGGAGGATGAAACACCTGAGTGTGCCCCCACCCCTCACCCCCAGTGAGCTGACAGAGCCTGACTTCACAGCAGGGGACATCACCATCTCCAGTTCCAGATCCTGGACCCCTCTCTACAAAACCATTTCCCCTCCCTGTGTGAACCACAAGGTCTCCTGTGGGAATTCCCACACCAAGGGGGAGTCAACCACTGTCATGTCAGCCAGGTCCCTGCTGAGAACCACACTTGAACAACTATTCTTCAAGAGATAATCTAAAGTTGCCTTGTGTGCAGGGAAGATATAGAACAATAGTACACACACACTGTCTCTCAGTATACCTCTATGTATTGGTGGCTAGATCTCTGCATGACTTGACATACTTCCCTTCACTCCCCCATGCCTGCAGTCACTCCCACAGGAACCCGAGCTAGTTTTGCAAAGGCAGCACCAATCTCTACCACCCAAACCAACCCACAGCAGCCCTGCCCCATATCCTGAGGGATTTGAGCTGTCGCGGGATCACATCAGCCCAATGCTGGGGGTGGTCTTCAGGCTGGGTGTTCAAATCTTGAGGCAGGATTCAGCAAAGGTGCTACGGGTGAGCGGGCAGCAAACGCCTGCCTGCTGAGTTCCCCGAGGAGGAGGCTGCTCCTGCTTCTCAGTCTCCCTGTCTCTGGAGGAAGCCCAATGACGGACGGTTTGGGTCACTCTTTCTCTCTCTTTCAGTCTATTTCTACCATAATGAAGCAGGGACTGCAGTCCTGTGGTCTTTCCATCAGCCCATGGTAGCACCAGCCAGGCATCTACAGCAGTGGTGGCAATGAATGGTCCAGCTTCTAGACTACAGAGCTGTGGGATCTTCCGATGAGCCAGAGCACTGGCACCACGGAGAGGAAGGACATGGGACTCAGGGGGCCTCTGGCCAACCCCAGGACAGGCTGAGCAGCTAGAAGAATGTCCCCAGAAATATACACGGGAGGAGGTCTGGGCAGGGGGAGGCTGGTGGGCCAGAGGAAGGGCAGCAGGGAGTGGCCACCATCAGAGCTGGTTAAACACCACAGAGGCCTTGAGGTTGGCAGGCTCAACCCCCTCACCAAAGGTAATGAGGAAGTACATGACCTTGCGGATCTTGGCCAAATCCGACAGGCGCTCCCCAAACTCCAGGGCATCAGCCTCATTCCAATCCATGGCGTCCGAGTCCTCCTTGCGCCAGAAGATGGCAGCGGGGTCCAGCAGCTGGCGTGTCATGAGGTTGGTGAGGTCAGGTGTCCAGTTCTGAGAGGTGCCCGTGATGGTGACCTTGCCTGGCTTGTCCAGCACAACATTCCAGCGTTCAAACTGCAGTTTCTGCTGCTGGATAAAGTCAATTCGGTACACGGACTCAGCTGGCCTCAGCAGCTTCTCGCCATCCTGGCGCTTCTCCCCACGCTGCTTCAGGCTCTCCACGCGCAGCCGCATCTGCTTGGTCAGGTCCTGGTCCAGGACCAGAGGCATCTCCAGCTGCTTCGGCCCATCCTCTGCCATGGCCCAAGCACCGTTCCGCTGCTCCCGCCAAGGTCAAGAAGCCAAGTGGGCTGGGGCCTCGGATGCCAAGAGAAGAGGCCACCCCAGAGGGCTCCGCCTCCCCAGTCCCCACCCTCTGTCCCCCTGTCACCACTCTCAGCCCCACCCAGTTCTTCACACGGGGCGTGTGTGAGGGTGGGAGGCTCCAAAGGCCTCCTCTCTACTCCTCACGGCAGCAGTAATGCAGCACTTCGGGCAGGCAGGAAGGTGACAGGCTCCTCAGAGACCAGAGTGCTGATGTCAGCAGCTGTGGCAACCACCTTGACGACCATGGCTGGGCTGGGAGCTGCTTGTTTGTGAAGAAGGCACTGCATGGAGCAGCCAGGGAGGGAAGGGGAACCACACACCTGCCACAGGCAGTGAGGACAGACAGGAAGACCCCGGGGGCTCAGCCAGGACCAGAGCGGATGCCAGAAACTCATTTACCACATGCCCTTCTAGTCCCACTGCCAGGACAGTCCCGCCACCATCATTTCTGACCTAGACCCAAGCTTCTCAGACCTTAGGTTGCACCAGAACCCCTGAGAGGCATAGAAACATTGCTGAGAATTTGCATTTTTAACTACCTCTTCGCAGGCTGCTGGTGCAGAGACTACCCTGAGACTCACTCACCCAGCTCCTTCTAACCTCATGGTCTCAGACTCAGCCTTGTCCTACGGCAGCCACATGAGCAGGTTTTACTTTTACCAAAACCCTACCACCTATTCCATCTCCTCCCACAAGGATCCTCCTCCCAGGAGACTGGAGGCCAAGGAAGAATCTGGCAAACATTTACATTCCCAGTGCCTAAAAGGAGGCAGGAGCTCAGCTATATGAGGGTAGAGGGAAGGGTGGAAGGGCCGCTGCCATGATGCGCCACACCCAGAACACAGGACAGAGGCACAGCCCAAGGTGTAACAGCTGAAAATAATCTGAAGGGTGCGGTGGACCACAAGCATAATTCACTGCTAGACAGAGGCTACGTAAGTCAGCAGTATCCTGGGCTATGTGAACAGCATGGGGGCCCGGAGGAAGAAAGAGCACCAGGTCCTCAGGCGAGGGTATAGTTCAGTGGTAGAGTACTCAGCATGTGGGGGCTCCATTACCAGCACCACAAAAAATGAACACATGAATACATACACATCCGGAAGCCCTGGGGTCAATTCTAGAGGCCCTCAGCAGGAACTGGAGAGGACCACACTGTGGAAGAGGTCAAGCTGCCCGTTCTCAAAACCTTTTACTTTGGAGCCAGAAGGGCAGGGAAGAGGAGAACAATTCAATTAGAAGCTATTATTGGGGGCTTCTGTTTTCTCCATGAGGAAGGAGAGATTCTATTCTTCCCAGCACTAATTTCACATTTTATTTGTATGTTTGCTTAGGTTGGTTTTGTGTTTCTTGTTTTGGTTTGCAGGGCTGGCACTTAAACTCAGGGCCTTTGCCTATGCCAGGCAAGCGCTCTCCCAATGAGCTACACCCCAGCCCCTGTGTGCGTAGTTTTTGTCTATGATGTCCCCACACTGGACCACAGTCCTGAAGAGGGCAGGGACTGCCTGTCTTGCTCATCACCTTAAGTCAGCACCCAGAATAAGACCTGCGACATAGGAGGTTCACAGAAATCCTTGTTGAATGGTGAGTGAGTGAGTGAGTGAATGAATGAATGACACTGATGAGAGAACAGCTGAAATGATGTACCATGGGGCCCCAGACCAAGGACAGCCAGAGGAAGGAGCACCGGTGAGGAGAGAGCATGGGACACTGGACACTGGCGAAATGAGATCAGAACCAGGTGTGCGCTGGGCTGGGGAGGGAGTAAGAGGCCAGGGGGTAGGGGCTGGGCCTCTGACTAAAGCCCTCCACAGAGAGAAGTTCCAGGCCAGACTGTGGCTGTCGGAGCAAGTGACCAAGGTGGCAGAAGGTGAAGGTGGATAGAGAAGAAATCAAGAACTAGGTCCAGGGAAATGGGTGGAGACAGAGCGTAGGCATTAGCCACACGGACACAGCAATCCCCAGAATATGGCAGTTCTTGGGGTACGAAGGTCTGAGAAATCATAGGTGCCGGCCCTTTTGTTCCAGAACAACAGGCCAGAGTAGCTGGGGGGCAAAGGAGAGTAAAACAGTGAGTGGAGAGTAGGGAGCTAAAAGCATGTAGGCAGCCTGGACTCATGTGAGGAAGTTGTCCTAGAGGAAAGAGGATCTCTTATTTCTGGATCCTAGGGGACAGGGAGGTTCAGCTTCTGCTGATGAGGATCTAAGGGCGTAAGGATTCCTGGGGAGGCCTTGTCTCAGCCTGGACAGAGGAGTATGACCTGCAGGAGGCTGAAGGTGAAGGATGTTATGACCAGGCTTCACAGCACAGGAGGGAGAGGGCAGCAAGGGCCCAGGGAAGGTCCTTGGGGAGAGGGGGCAGGAAGAAGGTGTGTGCAGAGTCTTATGGCCCAGGGGCAGGAAGAAGTCAGAAGGTGCAGGTGCTGTCCAAGACCACTGATGTCCACAGACCTCTGTTCAGCTGCCAGAATCTTGGGAAGACCCAACAAAGGCCGGGCATAGGAACATGTTCAAGAAAGCAAGCTCCAAACTTGCATACACAACTGCAAAAGACGTGCATAAAAGCCAAGCAAACAAGCAAAATCCTGCTTAACTTTAGATGGAAAAAAGACTGGAAGGAAATATAGAAAATCCTCAACTATGATTTTTTGAGGCAATAACAGTCACATGACTTTTGACCTTGACTTTATACATTTTACATCTTCTGTCCCTGGTACCTAGTTGTGCACAGTGGAGACTGATGAGCACTGAATTAACTGCTTTGTAACTGTGAACATGGATTGTTTTCATAACAGGGCAGGGACAGAGTGGGAAACATTTAAACAGAACTAACCTGCCCCCCATCCTGTTCAGGCACTGCTCAAGCACTGCTCACCCCCACCTCTTGCCCTGCATACATCTAGGCTCTCCCCATGGACCCAGGGCCCAGGCTGGACAGCAGGCAGCATGCCTGGGCTACCCTAGGCACTGGGAAGACAAGCTCATTGTAGACCTTGGGTCTGGCCTAAGCCCGGCCTGATGGAAATGCCCATCCAAACTATCATATCCTGATTTTAGGTTCATAGAGCTTGATCCCTGAAGTCTACTGCCCTGCCCTTACGAAACTATAGGCAAGACGGGGAGGCCATAATGACCAGGGATCCCTGGGTGGGGGAACCCACTACCCAGAAGCACCTGGCTGGGAAGGGATCTAAGTGTGCCAAGAACCACTGCTACACGCCAAGGGCTTGACCTCTTCTCACTACCCAAGGGTGCTGGTTGCAGTGAGGCCAGAGAAGGGTATGACTGGCCCAAGGTAGGTCAGTAACTATCAAGGGACCCAGCCAGAATCACACCCAGGTCTGGTTGTCTTTGAATCCTGTGCCTATGGGTCCCAGGCCCTTAAGGATGAGGAGGAGTTAGGGATGACTTCTGGGAGGAGGGACACGGGTATCCCAGATGTGACATGCCTTTACCTGAGGCTCAGGTAAAGTCTGGAGGGTGGAGGCAAAGGTGCAGCTCAAGCTGACCATCTCCCACCTCCACTGCTCTTTCAGGGAGAGCAAGGGGTGGGGCGAGGAGGCCCTGCAGAGTTACAGGCCCTGAAAGTGAGGGGTAACAACAAACAGAGCCCTGTCAGTGGGGACAGGAGGGGACGTAAGCACAATAATGAGCTCCACAGAGACTGTCACCACAGCAGCACCCAGAGGTAGAGAGCAATTAGCCAAGAGCACCCAGCCCACCCCAGCCTTCCCAAGCACCACACAAGCTACTGCAGGTCAGCCTCCTGGCCCTGGCAACCTTGAGATCCCTGGGCTGGGGTCCCACCCTTTGCAGGAGGAACCTTCTGTCTTGGGATAAAAATGAGCCTGCTGAAGATGGCACAGCATCAAGGATGGGCCCCCTGACTGAGCTGTCGGCCCTTCCTCCACCAGGGGTGGGAGGCTGCCAAAGGGGACTGCAAGCCAGGCTCAGCCAGAGGCACAGCTCTGAGACTCCTCCCTGCGCATGTGCAGACAGCTCCAGGGAGCTCTAGTCCACTGACCACTGGGGAGAAGCAGGCAGCTGGTCAGGTCAGTAACTAGATCCAACAATCTGAGACAGACCGCTCCTTCCAAACCTCTCTGGAGCCCTCTTTGTGCATGCCACCACTAGGCTCAGTGGGAAGGGACGAGCTGGTCCTGCTCTGCCCTCTGGGAACTCACCTCGAGGGGAGATGGCAGATAAACAGGCAATTACCTGGCAGGCAGAGGTGGGGAGCCAGCCCTCCAGGGCTCCCATGTGCCACCTCCATCCCTAGGCCAGTCCGCACCAAGGTACCAGTAGGGCTCAGAGGTAAGGGCCTGGTTCTGAGCTCAGAGAAGGGGGCTGAGGCTACAAGCTGCAAGGTATTTACACAAAGAACTACTCCAGATGCAGGTCCGCTTGAGGCCCACAAGTGACAAGATCCCACTCTGAGACCCGCCAGCTTGGATGTGCCATGAATACCCATGTCCACAAGATGCAGTAGTGGCCTCTGCCAGGGCCCTAAAGACCTACAGCATGCAGCTGCCTGACCCCTACAGGACCATCAGGGGTCAGGCCCCAGGGATGCCCACCCTGCTAAGAAGACAAGAGGGCAGGGAACCTGCCTCAGCCTTGGCTGAGGACACAGCTCCCTCTGATGGCTGAGGGACACCATGGAGGAAGAGGAGAGACTCCCTGTGCTCCATGAGAGCGCACCTATGTTCTAGCAGTGCTAATTGGCCTAAAGCTAGTCATCACAGCCACCCTTCCCTGAGGACTGTGCCGTGCAAGACACTGCAAGCACAGCATCTCATTCTAACCACGCACCTGCTGAGACACAGCTCCTGTGATTTTGCAGATGAGTAACCTGAGGCCAGGTTCAAAGCTTCCAATTTCTAAGACTGGGCATCAAACCCAAGACTGGGAGACTCAGGCACCCTGGGCTCTTATGTCCCCTCGCATCCCTTCAGGAGGGAGAGCAGGAAAGGCAGAGGCGAGGATGGGACAATGACTTATATTTGCCAGGAGGAGAACCCAGGTCTGGCCACCCTTCCAGCCTCCCTGCCTCCCCAGGAAAGAAACTCCAAGCTCTGGGTTTAAGGCCCCAGTGCCAAATGCTGCCACAAAAGACCAGGTGGCTGAAGCAGGGCTCATTCTTTCCAGCTGCAGACCTTTGGCTATGGTCCAGAACACCAGTAATGAGACCAGGAATCGTGACCCTGAGGATCATCTGGACCAGCCCCACTGAACTGGGAAAAGCAAGGCCCAGAGAAGGACAGCAGCTGGCCGAAGCACACAGCAGGTTACTGGCAGGGGTCCCTGACCCCGTTAATGGTGTCTCCACACCAAAAGTGAAGCAGGAGGCTTCCCCGTTTCACAGGTATATGTTTTACTCCAGGAACAGCAGGCCCTCAGAGGAGGGGAGGGGACACATCAGAAGAGATTCCAGCCGCTGCCCCTGGGGATCCCTAGCTGATGGGTCAGGAAGGCAAATCTGATGCTCGGCCATCCTGATGGGCCCAGTGTCACGCCATCCCTGCCCTGGTGCTGGCTTTCAGGAAGTCTCATCTGCCACATGAAGGCGAGAAAACACACTGCAGTAACCCCAGCCCACCCCAGCTGCCCCAGGCCTTACCTTTTGCCACAGAGACTCCCGGGAGGCCAGTGATGAGCAGGCAGCCACAAACCAGCAGTTGCCCACCTGGCCCTGGTGCAGGTCGTGGGAGCTGATGCCGTCCACAAAGAGGCGGGGGTCCTCGCAGATGTCCTGCAAGAAGGGAGGGGAACGTGAGCCGAGGAGCATGAGGGCCCCCTGCTGCAGGAAAAGGACCTCAGAGTATGCAGGGAGGTTGCCCAGTCTGCTGCAGACCGGGGTTCACATGGCCTGTCTGCTCCCCAAACCCAGGTCCCCCCAGGTCCTGCCTGAGACACCCTATTCTTCCCTGGCTGAAGTACTCTTCTGCCAAAGGAGAGACGATGAATGACTGTGGAAGGAGCTGGACCCTGGGCCACCTCCTTCTTCCCTCTGTGGCCCTCCCTGTCCCAGCCCATGCTGAGAGGCCCATGGTCACAACAAAGCGGGTAGTGGGGGTGAGAACGAAGAGCTTACAGAGCACAGAGAGGGGAGCTGGAGAGTGTATGGGCCAGGGCCCCTGTGGCATGCCCTTGTGCACTAGTCTGATCCTCCTCTGCCTGAGGAGTATGGAGTTAGGCTGCTGGTCCATTTTACGGATGAATAATGGGAGTCCCGAGAGGCAGAGATTTGTCAAAGGTACACAGCACACAAATACCCAACTGGGCAGAAAGCCATTCTGATTTTCCAGAGACTGGCAGGCATAGCCAGAGGGGCTGCGCCACAGGACATGCGGGGAGCCAGGCCGGTGTAGCCATCGGGCAGGGAAATGACTCATGCTCTCCTGCTGGCCCCGGGGCCCAGCCCTTCCTACTGCTGTCTGCTGGAAAGGGCCAGCAGGACGGCTCCAGAACCAGCTTCTCTCTGCACAGGTTCTTACCCTGGCCTGGGCTTCCCACATCACCAGGGTTTTCCCTAGGGTCCCCTGGGGCAGTGCTCGGCAGGAGGGAAAACACTGGCTTTGGCCTGAGCACAAAGAGATACATTGTGGAAGGGTTGGCTCCTGGCATCCTCGGGGCCATCATGCCATCCAGCCTGAGCTGGGCGCTGATTAGGTCAGAGCAGGGCAGCAGAAGGGGCCCGTACAGCCCTGACCCCAGCCTGCGGAGCAGAGGTGAACTGATGCACCACAGCTCCTGGAGGGCCCGCCTGTGCCCCATGTGGGCCTGACAGGCCCCCAGTGGCAGGGCTGGGTGTGGGGCTTCCCTTGCCCTGGGAAGGCCAGGATGCGTCCGTGGCTGCAAGTGCCACCTGTGTTCAGCAGCCCCACCCGAGGCCCCTCTACTTCACTAGCACCTCCCTCCACGGAGCCGATGGGGAGTGAAGATGGGGCGGGGGGCACTAAGTCATCTCCAGGCACCAGGTGTCCTGCTGGCACCACAATCAACTCTCATCACAGCCCTGAGAGTTGGGCAGGACACCCATCTTACAGATGAGAGCTGAACAGGGCGGCAGGGCCACAGTGCCAGGCTTCACTTCTGCAAGCTTTGCTCTGAGCAGGTTGAGGCCTTACTGCAGGCAGCCGGCAGAGGGCAGCAGAGCTTCTAACACAGAACTCCATTTCTGCTTGGCACTTACTTGCAGTGCAACTTGAGCCCAAGCTCCCCTCACTTCCACTTCCACCTCTGTGCAAAGGGGACAAACTTATCCCTGCAGGGCTGTGGGAGGCTTCCAGTCTCGGTGGTGGAGCGCTCAACAGGGAAAATGGGGCTTAGGCTATTCAGGTCCCACAAAGTACTGGGACCTCCTTCCCCCAAAAAACAAGTGTTTAGGACCAAGGAAAGGGCTGTGACTTCCCAGAGGGCACATGGGGAGGGACCTGACCCCTCCGTGCAGGTGGTACTACAGGATGGCTCAGGGCAGCATGTTAGGGCAGTCTGCCCAGAGCAAGGGTCTGGGTCCTGTCACCCCAGGTCGTGGGGAAGCCATGGACACGGTGGCCCTCATCTTGTACCCAAGGCCGTGCTCTATCTCTGGGGAAGCAGAGGAAAAAGCCCAGGCCTATCTCCTGCTGCCTCTCATTTTATCTCCCAGCCTCACCACAGCCAGCCCAGCTCCGGAGCCCCTGGAGCTATGACCTCGCATCTGCTGTTCTGAGGCTGGGAGGTGGGGTGGGGGTCATATCTGGAGAACCTGGCCACGTGTAACACAGAGAGACACCAGGCCCGTGTCTGGGCTGGTGTTGAGGTGACCCTCTACTTTAGAGCCCGCGGCCAGTGCTCTGTGACACGGACCATTGCCCCATCCCACAGCAGAGGAGCCTGGGCCCAAGAGGGGACAGTGACGTCCAACGTCTGGAGGCGAGGGACTGGACAAATGGGCAATACTGGTCTGCAGGGCTCCTGACCAGGGCTCTCCTCCCCACTGTGTGGCACTGCTGAGGTCGACCTGGAGGCAGGCACAGCCCAGAACAGGGCTCTGGCCCAGACACCTCTCCAGCCCTACAAAGCGAAACCAAGAGTGCCTGGGCTTGGGCTTCAGGGATCTCAGGTTCCAGCTGGGGCACAGCAAGGACCTAGGGTGATCAGCAGCCTGGGAAACAGCAGAGAAAGGAGGCCTGGGCCACGTCACCCCTGCCAGGAGAGGCTTGGGGTTACCAGTCTGACCCGGAGAAACCGGGTGAGGTCAGTGGCACCCGGAATCCAGAGGCCACCGTGGGGCACCTGTAAAAGAACAGTCACAGGAACGGCTCCTGAGGAGCAGGCACCTGCTGTGAGCTGGACGCTGTGCAAAGCAACTCTGCTAGACAGACTGGCCCAGGGCCGCACGCGAAGCTATGAACGGAGACTCCAGCTCAGGCAGCCTGGCTCGAGAACCTCTCAGTAGGCTAGCTTGTATGATGACAAAGTCACCCTTTCTATACTGTCTCCTGTATCTATCCTAGCAGGGGGGTGCCTCACTACACAGCAGTGAGATGAAGTCCAGGCCTTCACCCTCCACCTTGGGGGCCAGGCTTCTCAAGACCAGCACTTGTCCTTTTCTTCCTGGACATAAGCCACTGAGTGGGTCAGGGTTGGTCTCCGCCCTTCTGTGTGAGCAGAGCTGGGATGGCAGGAGCCCAGGGAGACCAGAGAGGCTGCCGGGGGGAGGGGCACTGGCACCTCCACATCAGGTGGGGAGAGGCGTGGTGGGCAGGGAGGCCCAGGTGGGATGAGGATTCCCCCTGAGACAGAGCCCAGCTACCCCCCCTGCCACCGGAAACAGACACTGCTTACCATGGGGCCTATAGCCAGCCACTCGCCGGGCTCTGCCCATCTCTAGGATGAGCAGGGCCCTGAAGGTTCCATGGGGGCTGCAAAGAAGGTCCCTGAGAGGAAGGGAGGACAAAATGACACAAAGGCCTGGGTAGGGCCACCATGAGGCCTGGGCAAAGCCATCCGAGTGCTGGGGTGACCACTCCTCTGCTCAGCTTGCCTCCAGGGCACAGCCTCTTGCGCCTGCAGGAAACTCTTACCCAGCCTGCTAGGCCAGCTCGACAAGGTTCAGGAGGCAGCCCCAGCCATCTCCCTCCTGGCACAGCAGGAAATTCAGGTTTCAGGTCCAAGGGCACAAACAACAGGAATGTCACACACACACACACACACACACACACACACACACACTGCACCAGGGACCATCCCATCCCCCCACCTCCTCAGCCACCCACCCTCACTGTCAACTCTCCTGCAATCTAAGGTCACAGGAGGAATCGACAACTGAGGACACTGGGCCTCTGCCTGGGACAGGAACAACACTTTCAAGAATCACAGCCTGTGGGCTACCCTTCCCTCATCCCTGCCCCATCTCTTCCCAGGAGTCCCCGTCCTTCCAGGACCCCTCCTCTCACAAGCCTTGCCTGCAGCTGGTGGTTCCCAGGCAGGAGAGCTGCCCAGCCAGTGCAAACCACCAGCTGTGCTCCCGCTAGGGGCCTCCAGTCCAGTACAGCCCAGGGGCACAGGCTTTCCTGGTAAAGGAGCGGGAGCCCCAGAGGGCAGGCGGGGCCACTGTGCTGGGAAATCCAAGGACAGTCCTACACTGACAGCTGCTCCCGAGACTCCTGCTCATCCTCTCCGCAGTCCACCAAAGGCCCCCCCGGACCGATGTCCCAAGGCAGTGCTGGGGGAAGGGCACTCTGCACCGTGCTACAGCCCAGATCCAAGAGGAGAAAAGGGGCTCCCCCCAGGGTTTGCTGACAGTCCCCATTTGCCTCTTATCTCCCTGACCAGACTGTGCGGGAAGCAGGAGACAGTCAAAAGTCCTAAAAGGAACAACAAAAACCAATAGGCCTGTAGCGGCTGGGCCTGCAGCGGGTGCCCCGGGTGGAGACTAGAGAGGACAAGGCCTGGTCCTATGCGGGGGTCAGTGAGGGTCAGTATGAGTCAGTATGAATCAGTATGAGAATGAGCGGCGCTGGGTCCTGTGTTGCCAAAGAGGAGGTGGGCAGGAGGGGAAGGGAGGCTTTTCACTGTCCCCCATGTGTCTGGCACCTCGAGAACCCACCCACTCCAACCTTCAGAAACCTTAATCAGCAAGAAAAACTCCCCCCCACTCGCGGAGGAGGAACCTGAGGCATCGGAGCGGAGCACAGTGACTTGTTCAAGGTCACATCCGGCCTCCAGCAAGATAGGGTCGAGGCTGGACCCAAGTCTGTATGGCTCCGGCCAGGCTCCCCCTTCCGTTTTGGGAGAAGGGCCAGCAGAACAGTGGGAGGCCCGCTAAGAAGCACCTCCCAGAACAGAGAAGCCTCCAAAACATCCCACACCCCACAAGCTCAGGGCAGCTGGAGTAGGGTAGTGAAGAAGGGCTTCCCTGGGCTGTAGGAAAAGCTGGCTTGCTGCTCTGTTTGTAAACAGTTGGTCGCAAGACCCAGGAAGTAGGACTTCATAGAGACAGTTTCACTGGCCAAAGGTCAAGCAGCTGGGAGTTAATAGTTGCAGCTGGACCAGCCCCACCCTTGAAGATTTGATTTCCACTTCCTGCTCCACAACCTCCTAGTGGGGGGATGGTGGGGAGGGGGCATGTCCTGGGCCCTGTCCCAGCTAAGGCAGTACTGCAGCGCCTGCACAGCAGCTTGTCTGTTTGTCTGTCTGTTTTCTGAGGCACATACATGAGGTGCTGGGGATTGAATCAGGGCCTTCCCATGGTCCTATATTCCCAGCTTGCTTTTTCTTTTTTCTTCCTCTTTCTCTCTCTCTTTTTCTCTCTCTCTCTTTCTTTCTTTCTTTTCTCTCTTTCTTTTCTTTCTGATATTCAGTCTTTTGAGATAAGGTCTCACTATGTAGCCCAGACTGGCTTCCAATTAGTGGTAATTTTCCTGCCTCCGCCTCCAGAGTACTGGGATTACAGACATGGGACATTATGCCCAGATTCTTACTAAGTCACTAAACTGTCTAGGCTGGGCTTGAATTTACAATCCTCCTGCCTCAGCCTTCCAGAACACAGGGATTAGAGGAGTGCACCACCACATCTGGCAAACACACACAAATTTTAAACCCACACAGTCATGACCATACACCCACATGGTCTCACATCCTGGTCTCACATAGTTCACCCACGGGTTTAGACCTTGAACAGCCTCCCAGCTGAGAACTGATTCCCCTTAGGCCTCACTCAGGTGTCTCCCTCATCACTACCCACTACATGCTGTCATGAGCCCCAGCAGGGCAGCACAGCTCTGTTCTTCCCCAGCCCAGACTAGTAAGGTGGCACCTGGCAGGTGCCAGGAGGGAGGAGACACGGCAGGACTTGAGCCTGTGCAGCAAGGGACTCGGAGAGGGCAGCGTCTCCACCAGGGGCACCCAGAGCCACCAGCCTGCCCAACCTGCCCCAGCCAGGCCTCCCGGGGCTCCTTGCAGAGCCATGGACTATAAATGCCTTTACCTTTAGGTCTGGAGACAGCCAGGAGCATGAAAGAGGGCAGGACTGGGGCAGCAAGGGGCAGAGCACGAGCTGGGAAAAGAGCTCAAGTGTCCAGGCTCCTCGGTGCTCGGGGGACTCACAAAGACCCTTGGAGGCTGCCCTCCTTCCTCACCCACTGGACTGAGGAGAGGGAGGAAAGCATGGACTCAAGAAGTGGAAATCTCGCATCCAGGCCAAGAGGTCCCAAGGAGCTCGAGAGGACCAAGGCCAAGGTCAGAGGTTCCATCGAGCTCACTGGCCCAAGCCCCAGGGCCTTGAGTGCGGCCTACCTGTCAGGGGCTCCCCAGGCAATCTTGGTGTGTTCCTTCTCCTCCCGGCCTCAGCCTCCCTCCCTCTCCAGAGTCCCAGTCTAAGAAAAGCACAGGATTTGTGAGTTAGAAGGGACTAGAGACCTACTCTAGGAGAGGAACTCGAAATCTGAATTTTATTTTCCCAAAAGGTCAAGGGGGCCAGAGGGTTTCTGTAAAGCACACGTCTCACCTTGTGATCGCCCGTGAAGCTGTCTTCAAAGGCTCCCACACCCTCAGGGCTAGTGCCAAGATCCCCCGCCCCCCACACCTAGTCTGTCCCCCTCACTTCTCCATGGCCTGTGCCCCGGCTCCCTGCTGTGGTCGAATGAGCCAGGCCTGTGGGCCCCATTTGCTAAGGAACTCTCCCCAGCACTTCCCACATACGCCTCCTGACCTTGCCTCTGAGACATCTACCTGAGGACCACACAGCCAGCCTCAGCTCCCTCCCAGCCTGGGTAACCTGGCAGAGAACGGTCTCCCTCACTAAAGTCCCTGCAGTGCAGCTCTCACAGGGTCACCAGCAAGGCTGTGGAGCCTAAGGAGGGGCCTGAGCCCACCACGTCCAGTGGCCTCCCGTTCACCCAGGCCCACAGGGTCACCCACTCAGCAGGACCCTCCCCCAACCCTCCCTGCCACCCAGGAACTGAGTTCAACAGGAGGAAGTCACTGAGGCCACACCCCTCTGTTTAGCATGACTGACCTCAGGGCCTGAAGCCAGGGGCCAGGATCCCGGAGCAGGAACAGTGAAGAGAGGACCCCTAGTCCATCGCGATCAATAGGCCTGGCAGCTGCTCCCCGTGCTGGGTGCCAGGCTGTGTTTCAAGCTTGTGACGTGGACACTATTACTTCTGACCACCGTTAGGATTACTGATTAATTATCTCCCTGTGTTTCATGAATGCAGGAAGTGACTTCAAAATCTTTATACTAATCATGAAAGCAGATTCCTTATACTCGAATATCACTCCACATTTTGCTAAACAAAGGTTACCTCCACATCTTCTTATTTTTAACCCTAAAGTGACCTCAGGACGGAGGGTGGCAGGGATAAGGGAGCCCTGGGATTTGGCCCATTCTCATAGCTCCCTTTTCAGGTCAGCTGCCACGGAAGGGGCCTGGCAGGGCACCCCACATCCCTGTACTCAGCCCACGGGGAGTCGCTCCACCCCCAGAGGACACCACACACTGACCTTGGGTCGCTTCCACCTAACGGCGGGGCCTGGGGCACCCTTGTAGTAGAGCGAGTCATCCGTGGCAGGGAAGTGGGGGTCCTCGAAGAGCACCTTCCTGCGCAGACAGGCCCGCTTCAGGGAAGAGTAGTTCTGGTTCTCATAGGCTTTCACACAGGAGAACATGGCGGCAGCTGCCCCAGAGACGGGAGGCAGGAGCACCTGGAGGACAGGAAGGCAAGATGTCCGTCACCCAGGGATACCGGGATTCCTGCTGTGCACCTATCCCATGTGACCCCTGACAGCCCAGGGAAGTGGGCACCCCCATCCCCATCATACAGGCACGGAGAGGAGGCTCAGAGAGGGTTGGAGGCTCACCCAAGGCCACACAGCTGGTACCAGGCAGAGCAGAGGCAGGCCACTAGGATTCTCTCCTTTCTGATGCCTCAAGGTGATTCCAGGCCGCAGGCCACTGAGAGCTCCGGGCATTAGGCCTAGGCCACACCCACTCCCTTCCCTCCCTTTGTTTAATTAGCCTTCCCCAGACTTCCCCAGACTGAATCAGACAGGGCCAACCCCAGCAGCTCTGTGGCCGCTGTCACACCCACAGGGAAGCAGCTGCCCAGGTCCTACAATCCTCATCCTGCAGGGCCCACTTCTGCCCTGTGAGAAGCCCTGTTTGAGGCACCCGAGCCATCACTCACACCCTGTCCACCTGTTTCCACATCCACCCTGGAACCAAGGTCTCTGACCCTCTAGAAAGCAGGTTCAGGCTCCTGAGTCCCCCTTCACTCTCCAGGGGCCACAGGGGTCCAGCTAGCACCCTGCCCCTCACACCCACCTGCTGACCAAACTCAAGGGACACAGACAGGACCAACATGGAGAGAAAGAGAAGAACTCAGGGAAGAGAGAGGAGGCAAGGGCAGGGCGAGGCACACTGCGGGTGCTGACAGGAGCTTGGGCGGTCAGATACCGGAAGGACTGTCCCTTTTATGCCAGGCTGTCCCTCACTCTCCATCCAGGCTGCAAGAACTCAACTCCTCCTGGACCTGTTCATCCTGGGGCTTGTCCAGGGCAATGCTGCAATCCCACTGAGTTTCCCAGACCCACTCTGAGGGAAACTGCGGCGCAGGAGGTTCACTCCTGATATGGTTTGCGAGCAAGCCTGCTAAGGATGCCAAGCCATTCCACCTCTCTGAGCCCCTGCTTATCTCAGAGTCCAGAGTGCTAACCATTACACGATGGAACTGCCACTCTGCTTATGTCTACAATGGGAACGATGCTGCCTGAAAAACCGGAGAGCCATTATAATCACCCAAAGGCTGGGAGACGGTTAAGAGGCCAGCAGGGAAGGAAGACCTGACCAAGCCCCTCCCACTCCGCTGGCACCTCCCGTGTGTAAGCCACTTGGCTAGAAGTTTGTGTCTATCATTTGCAAACCCTGCTAGTTGGGCACGTTGTCCAGAAAGAGAGTGGAAGTGGCCTGCCCAAGCTCCCAGGGCAAGGTCGGGACTGGAACCCAGGTCTTCCAACCCTGATGCCCCTACCCTGGCTTCTCCAGCCTGCCACTCGGGATGAAGAACTGAGTGCTGGCCGGTGGGGCGCCCCCAACAGCCCACTGCGCTGCGGCCTTGCAGGAGGGAAGAAGAGAACATTCTCCAGGAAGAGCAGAAACAGCGAAAGAAAGTGAGACGGGCCAGAGTGTGGACACAGACAGACAGCAGGGCCCGCCCTTCATCCTGTCTGCTGACGGGGTGACAGCTGGCTTGTCCCCTGCACTGTGCCGCAGCTGCTTCATCTCTGGCTCTCTCAGCCATACAGGGCCGCTGCCTGACCTCAGGTCAACAACTTAACCTCTCTGGCCTCTCCTCTGCCACCCTCCCTCCGCCTCGCCAGACCTTGGAGGCCTGCGGGGTGGAGAGGGGGAAGCCTGGAGAGCCTTCTGGCCCGCAGGTACCACGCAGAGCCGTTGCAACATGGGTTTCCAGCAGCTGGGAGCTCAGGAAGCAATTTAAGTGCAAGAATTAGATTAGAGAAGCTGAAAACAGGAGCCCAGAAGCCAACTCTTGCTATTCCTGTGTTTCAGAGCCCAGAGGGCCCAGAGAGGGGAAGTGGCTGGCTGAGGTCACACAGCCAGGCTGGTGGAGAACGACAGCTCCGGCTGCCCTCCAGCACACACCACTGCGAGGCTCTGCTCCGGGGAGGAGAGAGTGGGCTGACGGGAAAGCTCGGATAGGAGGGCCCCCGAACTGGGGCAGCGGGTGGAGGATGCGAATTCAGTCATTGCTCTGCCTCACGCTCCCAGCCAGGGTGACACTGGCCTCCCTGTGCTGGGCTCTTCTGGGCCCTGACCTTTGCCCAGACAGCCCTCCTGCACCCTCAAGGTGATCGTCCATGGCATCTACTGGCCAGTGTCCCCTAGGGCCGCAGGGTGTGCAGCCCCTCCTGGTAGCTTCAGGCACGGAGGCAGGAACCCCCCACTCCAGCCTCTCCTCTCAGGACTGGAGATTCGAGCGTGGCCCTGGGACATCCTACAAAGTGTCCAGTCTGAGCCTCCCCGCTGCCACTTCCTGTCCTCTGCCAATCTCACCCCTGCATCTCACCTCCTGAGTGCAGATGCTACGAGCTCCATGCAGTTCCCTCGAAACTGTTAACACAGGGCCTGTTCACGTGCCATTGCTCCCCCAGTGCCGCCCTGCCTCGGCCGTCTGGGAGTCTCTCAGAGGACAGTGCTCATCACTGTGTTCCTCTGTGCACTTCCTGCCCACCTCTGTATCCCCAGCTTCAGGATGGGGCTGGGGATTTGGGAATGAACAGTCCTGACCAGAAGCTTCTCTGAGGGCTCAAGGGGGCAGCGCCCCATCACAGCTCAGGCCCTCAGGTCTGCTGGAGACGCCCCACTTCCCGCCACACCACTGCCTTTCCCTTCCTCCTCTTCCTGATGGCTGAGCGAGAGCACCCCATCCCCCACTCCTGTCCAGGCTGAGGTGGCTGCAGCCCTGGTGCTCTCTGCTGTAGCCCAGCCCTCTTCCTGCTCCTCACCGAACTTCCGCTTTAGTTTACCTGGGCCCACCTAAGTTGTGAGGCTCCAGACAGACTGCATGGCCTCTGGTCCGCATGGTCCTTGTCTGGAAGTAACAGGTAAAGTGCCTGGGCCCCTGTGCCTCTGTGAGAATCTAAAGCGGTACTGCCCACACAGCAGCGTGCCAGACACTCTGATCCACTGTGCCCGAGGGCTGTCAATACCAGCAGTCAACCCCTGATGAGGTTTCTAGACCCTGTCACGTACAGGAGGTTCCAACACAGAGGGTTCTGTCTCCAAAGAGCTTCGAGGCCTAGTGCCCCAGCAGGCACAGGCAGAGTAGAACAGGCGTTGTACAGAGGCACGACAGGGAGGTCAGTCTCGGGGCTCGGCTGCTCTGTAGGTGAGAGGTCTGCTCAAGCAGAGGCTGGGAGGCCCAGAGGTTCAGTGTGATTAGGACCTGGCCTGGCCTAGTGAGGCCGTGCAGATAGGGGAGGGGGTGCTGAGTTTGGTCAGAACAAGGGCGCTAGACCCGCTGCCAGGAAGCCTGCAGACAAGTCACTGGGTCCCACGATGAGCTGCTGCTTGGCCTGGGACAAGTCATGAGCCCTGTGAGCTGCTGTCAATCAGCAAGCCACCCTGGCCTTACCTGGTTCCAGCCTCTACTGTACAGAGGACAGGAAGAGAGTAGCATCTGGGCTCTAGGGCAACTCAGTCTGTCCTGCCTGAGGAGCAGTGTGTACCCTGTTCTAGCAGCATGTGGCCTGGTCTGCTTCTCCTTGGGCCTGCCAGAAGTGGTGGGGAGAGCCCAGCGGTGCCTGGGCTTCAGTCAGGACTCATCTTCTGGCAACCTATGGTGCCTGGCTGCAGGGGGAGGCTGACACCCTGAGGAGCCTTCCCTGGGCGTGACAACTACCAAAGCCATTTTGTACACAGAAGTACAGAGAAACTTCTAAGTCCTTGCCCCACTGGCTGGATCCAGTTAGGGCTTCCCAGGCAGGGCCTAGGCTGATGTTGTGATATTTTAGGGGAACCTGACACAGCAATAAAGACCGCAATAAAGACTTGGAGCACTGGTCTCCCCCCAATTCTCTCTCAAGGATCACTCAGTGTGGTCTAGATGTCTTTACCCTTCATAGCCTGTGCCCATCCCCTACATACTACAATAAAGGACAAGTGGGCCCAGGGTGAGGGCCTTCCACAAGTAATGGCATCTGGCTGGAATTGAATGATTTTTTTTTCATTTTATTTATTTTTATTTTTTGTGGTACTGTGGATTAAACCCAGGACCCCAGCCATAGTAAGCGAATGTTCTACCACTGAGTCCCACTTGTACTTGTACCCCAGTCCCCACTTGTACTGTATTTTAAAAATTCTTCCAGTTGCCTTTTTTTCTGGACAGTAACATTAACTTCGTATCTATAGTAAACACATGATTTCCCCAGCCTCAAAAGGAAAGGCAGAAAAAAGAAGAAAGAAAGGTAGACAGATATAGATAGATAGATAGATAGATAGACAGACAGATAGATAGATTATGGAGGATACAGTGCTTAGTGGTAGAGCACTTGCCTATTATATTTAAGGACCTGGGTCAGTCCCTAGCATGTGTGTGCACATACAGGAAGAAAAGAAAGAAGGAAGGAAGGAAGGTAGAAAGGAAGGAAGGAAGGAAGGAAGGCAGGCAGATGGGAGGGGGGCTGATTAAGGGAAAAGGGAGCTAAGTTAAAGAAAAATAAAATACTAAGTTGCCAGTGGTGCAAGTGGGACCCTCAACATTACACCCGGAGATGGTGGGCAGTGTGGCTGCCGGGACTGGATTCCAGAGCTGTGCCCGAGGGCCTCCTTTTCCCTTCCTCCTCTTCCTGATGGCTGGGTGCCAGGTGGTGCCCACACCCACTGCCCATGCAGAGGTGGCTGACGCCCTGGTGCTCTCAGCTGTGACCCAGCCCTTCTCCTGTTCCTGACTGGGCCTTGGCATTATTCCCTAGGGCCTGCCTAAGATGTGAGGCTCTGGACATGGCCTCTCTGGTCTGCTGGACCTTGTCTAGAAGGAGAAGCTTCTAAAAGAGGAAATAATGAGCCTCCTTGAGCCTCTGGAAGGATGGTAGCCAGTGTCAGAGGCATCATAAGAGCCAAAGAATACTGCTGAGCTCAAGTCCAGCAGCAAGAGGGCCTTAAATTAGCATACAAAGGGCCAGAA